ACTGTGTGTGTGTACTGTGTGTGTACTGTGTGTGTGTACTGTGTGTGTGTACTGTGTGTGTACTGTGTGTGTGTACTGTGTGTACTGTGAATGTGTACTGTGTGTGTACTGTGTGTACTGTGTATGTTCTGTGTGTGTGTACTGTGTGTGTACTGTGTATGTGTACTGTGTGTACTGTGTATGTGTACTGTGTGTGTACTGTGTGTGTACTGTGTGTACTGTGTATGTGTACTGTGTGTGTACTGTGTGTGTGTACTGTGTGTACTGTGTATGTCTACTGTGTGTGTGTACTGTGTGTACTGTGTGTGTGTACTGTGTGTGTGTACTGTGTGTACTGTGTGTACTGTGTATGTGTACTGTGTGTGTGTGTACTGTGTGTACTGTGTATGTGTACTGTGTGTGTACTGTGTGTGTACTGTGTGTGTGTACTGTGTGTACTGTGTATGTGTACTGTGTGTGTGTGTACTGTGTGTGTACTGTGTATGTGTACTGTGTGTACTGTGTGTACTGTGTGTGTGTACTGTGTGTACTGTGTGTGTGTACTGTGTGTACTGTGTGTGTACTGTGTGTGTACTGTGTGTACTGTGTATGTGTACTGTGTGCACTGTGTGTGTGTACTGTGTGTGTACTGTGTATGTGTACTGTGTGTACTGTGTATGTGTACTGTGTGTACTGTGTGTGTGTACTGTGTGTGTACTGTGTGTGTGTGTACTGTGTGTACTGTTTATGTGTACTGTGTGTGTGTACTGTGTGTACTGTGTATGTGTACTGTGTGTGTACTGTGTGTGTACTGTGTGTACTGTGTACTGTGTGTACTGTGTGTACTGTTTATGTGTACTGTGTGTACTGTGTGTACTGTGTATGTGTACTGTGTGTGTATGTGTACTGTGTGTGTATGTGTACTGTGTGTACTGTGTGTACTGTGTGTGTGTACTGTGTGTACTGTGTGTGTGTACTGTGTGTGTGTGTACTGTGTGTACTGTGTACTGTGTGTGTGTACTGTGTGTGTACTGTGTGTGTACTGTGTGTATGTACTGTGTGTACTGTGTATGTGTGTACTATGTGTACTGTGTGTATGTGTACTGTGTGTGTACTGTGTATGTGTACTGTGTGTACTGTGTGTACTGTGTGTGTGTACTGTGTGTACTGTGTATGTGTACTGTGTGTGTGTGTACTGTGTGTACTGTGTACTGTGTGTGTGTACTGTGTGTACTGTGTGTGTACTGTGTATGTGTACTGTGTGTGTGTACTGTGTGTACTGTATGTGTGTACTATGTGTACTGTGTGTATGTGTACTGTGTGTGTGTACTGTGTGTACGCTACTCGACAGGCAGCTGTCACCCCGTGCGGTTTCTCTTCGTGTGCTATGTTTTGTCTGTTTGGAACGCATCTACTACTCCCGCGTAAAGCCAAGGCAGCAACCTGTCAATGGCGACGTTTTGGGCAAGAGCCCTTGTTCATGAGCTATTAAGAAGGTGCCATTGCCTGCAACGTAGCCTATTTCATCAGGATCTGTATTGATCCTGGAGGAATCCGATGAGCTATAAAGATATTTTTTCAGAGATGTTAAGTTTGTTCCTTTTAAGGACACACACACACAGAGCGCCCATCTCCACATATGACACTGTCCCCCAGTTTGTTGTTGTTATTGTTGTTGTTGCAGTGGCGTAGTCATCAACTACATTATCAGCCGAGGGGGGAGTAGTGCAGCAATAGTTTTCAAACGGGGCCCCACTCGTATTTGTGATTTGTATCTTGGCACGGCCGCACCTAGAGACTATCATCACAAACCTGTCAACCCCTTATCAGTGCCCTACCTTATCACAGGCCAATTCAGAACCTTATTGGTCACCCCGTGCCCCTTTATAAATCTCAGCGTTCATCCTACAAAGTCCCACCACCACAAGGGAGAAACACAAATAGATCAAAAATTAGGTCACTAAACACATTGTTTTTTTACGTATTAATTTTGATAATTGGTGGCAATGATGATACCTATCATGCTACTACTGTCTGTGATCTTGCATCCTGATGCTTGCTTGATATGTGGATACACACACTCACGTGCCTGTCAAACCCTTATCAGTGCCCTACCTTATTACAGACCAATTCAGAACCTTATTGGTCACCCCGTGCCCCTTTATAAATCTCAGCGTTCATCCTACAAAGTCCCATCACCACAAGGGAGAAACACAAATACACAAAAACTTTTGCCCCTATTGAAACGGCTGTACGCCGTATCAACGTGAAAACTCAATGACCCTGGACAAGAATACGGGGCCTAAAAGCGCGTGGGTTGGCAGCTGTGGGTTGACAGGAATGACATTTCATTTCGCAAGGAAACCCTGCACCAGGTTTCAACCTGCTGGGTCTCATCAGCAAAGTGAGCCTCGTTCGAAAACTGCTGCCCGATGTTATTGGCAAGACCGCTCCACGTAAACTCTTCACAGGAACTCCGTGAAATGCAAACGAGGGGGGGGAAAATAAAAAAGAGGGCTTTAGTTTTGACGCCACGTTTTATTTCTGCGACTCCCCTTTTTGAAACTGGCAAATTATTGTTGCTTGTCCCTCCCTCCGCAGCATACAAAACCCCATACGCACACACACGCACGCACACGCACAAAAAAACCCGTGTTCCAATCTAAAAATCCCCCCCAGAAGAGATTATTTTTTTTAAATGTACAGTTTTTTTTTTAAAAGAAAGCCGCACACATCAAATGCACACATTTAGGCTGTCAAAAAACGGACATTGTGCAAGAAAATGTTTCCATTTTTTCCACCCCTCCACCATCTTTGAACCATCGCAAGGGAACTCAAAGACACGCACGCAGACAAAGATCCCCCGTGTAGCCCGCGAACGCTGTAGGGGCAAGTGCTGTTAGCGAGCGGCACCTATCAAGGCCGGCATAGCGCGGCACACGAGGGGGTGGGTGGCCAGCACCACGCCCGACCGCCTTTGTCTCCCTAGTGGCGATGTTTACACCACGCACCAGCTACTCATTTGAGGCTGAGTCGACCTAGGGGAGGAGGCGCAGGACGAGTTCAGATAATCGTCACTGGGCGTTGGCCGTGAGCGGGAATCGAACTCGGGTCGCCGGGTTTTCGTAGTGCGGTGGTAGCGCTAACCGCTAACTCAAAAACACGCACACAGACACAGACCCACAGGCACACGTGACAGGCACGTGTGTCTGTCACGTGTGCGCCAAAGCGATTTAAATTTATATTTTAAAAAACCACGTCACTTTGTTTTTTCACAAATTCATCTTTTCGAAGTCACATCGAGCAATTTTAACAGTGTGTACCTGTCAGATATTTCAGTCATTAATGTGTTTTGGAGAGCATGTACGTATGTTGAACTTCTTTCGCACCGCATGTGGCCAACCATACTAATCGGAGGTGGAGTGTTGAGTCTATGGGCAGTGTTGAGTCTATGGGCAGTGTTGAGTCTGTGGGCAGTGTTGAGTCTATGGGTAGTGTTGAGTCTATGGGTAATGTTGAGTCTATGGGCAGTGTTGAGTTTATGGGTAGTGTTGAGTCTATGGGCAGTGTTGAGTCTACGGGCAGTTGAGTCTATGGGCAGTGTTGAGTCTATGGGCAGTGTTAGTCTATGGGCAGTGTTGAGTCTATGGGTAGTGTTGAGTCTATGGGTAGTGTTGAGTCTATGGGTAGTGTTGAGTCTGTGGGCAGTGTTGAGTCTATGGGCAGTGTTGAGTCTATGGACAGTGTTGAGTCTATGGGCAGTGTTGAGTCTATGGGTAGTGTTGAGTCTATGGGCAGTGTTGAGTTTATGGGTAGTGTTGGGACTACGGGCAGTTGAGTCTATGGGCAGTGTTGAGTCTATGGGCAGTGTTAGTCTATGGGCAGTGTTGAGTCTATGGGTAGTGTTGAGTCTATGGGTAGTGTTGAGTCTATGGGTAGTGTTGAGTCTGTGGACAGTGTTGAGTCTATGGGCAGTGTTGAGTCTATGGGCAGTGTTGAGTCTATGGGCAGTGTTGAGTCTATGGGTAGTGTTGAGTCTATGGGCAGTGTTGAGTTTATGGGTAGTGTTGGGACTATGGGTAGTGTTGAGTCTATGGGTAGTGTTGAGTCTATGGGCAGTGTTGAGTCTATGGGCAGTGTTGAGTCTATGGGTAGTGTTGAGTCTATGGGTAGTGTTGAGTCTATGGGCAGTGTTAGTCTATGGGCAGTGTTGAGTCTATGGGTAGTCTTGAGTCTATGGGCAGTGTTGAGTTTACGGGCAGTGTTGAGTCTATGGGCAGTGTTGAGTCTATGGGCAGTGTTAGTCTATGGGCAGTGTTGAGTCTATGGGTAGTCTTGAGTCTATGGGCAGTGTTGAGTTTACGGGCAGTGTTGAGTCTATGGGCAGTGTTGAGTCTACGGGCAGTGTTGTTGAGTCTATGGGTAGTGTTAAGTCTATGGGTAGTGTTGAGTCTATGGGTAGTGTTGCGTCTATGGGCAGTGTTGAGTCTATGGGCAGTGGTGAGTCTATGGGTAGTGTTGAGTCTATGGGCAGTGTTGAGTTTATGGGTAGTGTTGAGACTATGGGTAGTGTTGAATCTATGGGTAGTGTTGAGTCTATGGGCAGTGTTGAGACTATGGGCAGTGTTGAGTCTATGGGCAGTGTTGAGTCTATGGGCAGTGTTGAGTCTACGGGCAGTGTTGAGTCTATGGGTAGTGTTGAGTCTATGGGCAGTGTTAGTCTATGGGCAGTGTTGAGTCTATGGGTAGTGTTGAGTCTATGGGTAGTGTTGAGTCTATGGGCAGTGTTGAGTCTATGGGCAGTGTTGAGTCTACGGGCAGTTGAGTCTATGGGCAGTGTTGAGTCTATGGGCAGTGTTAGTCTATGGGCAGTGTTGAGTCTATGGGTAGTGTTGAGTCTATGGGTATTGTTGAGTCTATGGGAAGTGTTCAGTCTGTGGGCAGTGTTGAGTCTATGGGCAGTGTTGAGTCTATGGGCAGTGTTGAGTCTACGGGCAGTGTTGAGTCTATGGGTAGTGTTGAGTCTATGGGTAGTGTTGAGTCTATGGGTAGTGTTGAGTCTATGGGCAGTGTTGAGTCTATGGGCAGTGTTGAATCTATGGGTAGTGTTGAGTCTATGGGTAGTGTTGAGTCTATGGACAGTCAATTTAAGACTACAACTCTCAAGCCGGGCTTGGCTGTTATGATGCCTCTTTAAGACTACAGCCCTCAGACAGGGCTTGGCTGTTATGATGCCACTTTAAGACTACAGGTCTCAGGCTGGGCTTGGCTGTTATGATGCCACTTTAAGACTACAGCCCTCAGACAGGGCTTGGCTGTTATGATGCCACTTTAAGACTACAGTTCTCAGCCTGGGCTTGGCTGTTATGATGCCTCTTTAAGATTACAGCCTGTAGGCAGGGCTTTGCTGTTATGATGCCTCTTTAAGACTACAACTCTCAAGCTGGACTTGGCTGTTATGATGCCTCTTTAAGACTACAGCCCTCAGACAGGGCTTTGCTGTTATGATGCCTCTTTAAGACTACAACTCTCAAGTCGGGTTTGGCTGTTATGATGCCACTTTAAGACTACAACTCTCAAGCTGCGCTTGGCTGTTATTATGCCACTTTAAGACTACAGCTCTCAAGCTGGGCTTGGTTGTTATGATGCCACTTTAAGACTACAACTCTCAAGTCGGGCTTTGCTGTTATGATGCCACTTTAAGACTACAACTCTCAGGTTGGGCTTGGCTGTTATGATGCCCCTTTAATACTACAGCTCTCAAGCTGGTCTTGGCTGTTATGATGCCACTTTAAGACTACAGCCCTCAAGCTGGGCTTGGCTGTTATGATGCCTCTTTAAGACTACAGTTCTCAGGCTGGGCTTGGTTGTTATGATGCCTCTTTAAGACTACAACTCTCAAGCTGGGCTTGGCTGTTATGATGCCTCTTTAAGACTACAGTTCTCAGGCTGGGCTTGGCTGTTATGATGCCTCTTTAAGACTACAGTTCTCAGGCTGGGCTTGGTTGTTATGATGCCACTTTAAGACTACAGTTCTCAGGCTGGGCTTGGCTGTTATGATGCCACTTTAAAACTTCAACTCTCAAGCTCGGCTTGGCTGTTATGATGCCTCTTTAAGACTACAGCTCTCAAGCTGGACTTGGCTGTTATGATGCCTCTTTAAGACTACAACTCTCAAGCTGGGCTTGGCTGTTATGATGCCACTTTAAGACTACAACTCTCAAGCTGGGCTTGGCTGTTATGATGCCTCTTTAAGACTACAGTTCTCAGGCAGGGCTTGGCTGTTATGATGCCACTTCAAGATTACAGCTATCAAGCTGGGCTTGGCTGTTATGATGCCTCTTTAAGACTACAGCCCTCAGGCTGGGCTTGGCTGTTATGATTCCACTTTAAGACTACAGCCCTCAGGCAGGGCTTGGCTGTTATGATGCAACTTTAAGACTACAGCTCTCAAGCTGGGCTTGGCTGCTATGATGCCACTTTAAGACTACAACTCTCAAGCTGGGCTTGGCTGTTATGATGCCTCTTTAATACTACAGTTCTCAGGCCGGGCTTGGCTGTTATGATGCCTCTTTAAGACTACAACTCTCAAGCTGGGCTTGGCTCTAATGATGCCACTTTAAGAATACAACTCTCAAGCTGGGCTTGGCTGTTATGATGCAACTTTAAGACTACAGCTCTCAAGCTGGGCTTGGCTGCTATGATGCCACTTTAAGACTACAACTCTCAAGCTGGGCTTGGCTGTTATGATGCCTCTTTAATACTACAGTTCTCAGGCCGGGCTTGGCTGTTATGATGCCTCTTAAAGACTACAACTCTCAGGCAGGGCTTGGCTGTTATGATGCCTCAGACTACAACTCTCAAGCTGGGCTTGGCTGTTATGATGCCTGTTTAAGACTACAACTCTCAAGCTGGGCTTGGCTGTTATTATGCCTCTTTAATACTACAGCTATCAAGCTGGGCTTGGCTGTTATGATGCCACTTTAAGACTACAACTCTCAAGCTGGGCTTGGCTGTTATGATGCCTCTTTCAGACTACAGCCCTCAGGGTGGGCTTGGCTGTTATGATGCCTCTTTAAGACTACAGCTCTCAAGCTGGGCTTGGCTGTTATGATGCCTCTTTAAGACTACAGCCCTCAGGCTGGGCTTGGCTGTTATGATTCCACTTTAAGACTACAGCCCTCAGGCAGGGCTTGGCTGTTATGATGCCACTTTAATACTACAGCTCTCAAGCTGGGCTTGTCTGTTATGATGCCACTTTAAGACTACAGCTCTCAAGCTGGGCTTGGCTGTTATGATGCCACTTTAAGACTACAGCTCTCAAGCTGTGCTTGGCTGTTATGAAACCTCTTTAAGACTACAACTCTCAAGCTGGGCTTGGCTGTTATGATGCCACTTTAAGACTACAACTCTCAAGCTGGGCTTGGCTGTTATGATGCCTCTTAAAGACTACAACTCTCAGGCAGGGCTTGGCTGTTATGATGCCTCAGACTACAACTCTCAAGCTGGGCTTGGCTGTTATGATGCCTCTTTAAGACTACAACTCTCAAGCCGGGCTTGGCTGTTATGAAACCTCTTTAAGACTACAACTCTCAAGCTGGGCTTGGCTGTTATGATGCCACTATAAGAATACAACTCTCAAGCTGCGCTTGGCTGTTATGATGCCTCTTTAAGACTACAACTCTCAAGCCCGGCTTGGCTGTTATGATGCCTCTTTAAGACTACAGTTCTCAGGCTGGGCTTGGCTGTTATGATGCCACTTTAAGACTATAGTTCTCAGGTTGGGCTTGGCTGTTATGATGCCACTTTAAGACTACAACTCTCAAGCTGGGCTTGGCTGTTATGATGCCTCTTTAAGACTACAGCTCTCAAGCTGGGCTTGGCTGTTATGATGCCTCTTTAAGACTACAGCCCTCAGGCTGGGCTTGGCTGTTATGATGCCACTTTAAGACTACAGCTCCCACGCTGGGCTTGGCTGTTATGATGTCACTTTAAGACTACAACCCTCAGGCAGAGCTTGGCTGTTATGATGCCACTTTAAGACTACAACTCTCAAGCCGGGCTTGGCTGTTATGATGCCTCGTTAAGACTACAGCTCTCAAGCTGGGCTTGGCTGTTATGATGCCTCTTTAAGACTACAACTCTCAAGCCGGGCTTGGCTGTTATGATGGCACTTTAAGATTACAACTCTCAAGCTGGGCTTGGCTGTTATGATGCCTCTTTAAGACTACAGTTCTCAGGCCGGGCTTGGCTGTTATGATGTCACTTTAAGACTACAACCCTCAGGCAGAGCTTGGCTGTTATGATGCCACTTTACGACTACAACTCTCAAGCTGGGCTTGGCTGTTATGATGCCTCGTTAAGACTACAGCTCTCAAGCTGGGCTTGGCTGTTATGATGCCTCTTTAAGACTACAACTCTCAAGCCGGGCTTGGCTGTTATGATGGCACTTTAAGATTACAACTCTCAAGCTGGGCTTGGCTGTTATGATGCCTCTTTAAGACTACAGTTCTCAGGCCGGGCTTGGCTGTTATGATGTCACTTTAAGACTACAACTCTCAGGCTGGGCTTGGCTGTTATGATGCCTCTTTAAGACTACAAATCTCAAGCCGGGCTTGGCGGTTATTATGCCTATTTAAGACTACAACTCTCAAGCTGGGCTTGGCTGTTATGATGCCTCTTTAAGACTACAACTCTCAAGCTGGGCTTGGCTGTTATGATGCCACTTTAAGACTACAACTCTCAAGCTGGGCTTGGCTGTTATGATGCCTCGTTAAGACTACAGCTCTCAAGCTGGGCTTGGCTGTTATGATGCCTCTTTAAGACTACAACTCTCAAGCCGGGCTTGGCTGTTATGATGGCACTTTAAGATTACAACTCTCAAGCTGGGCTTGGCTGTTATGATGCCTCTTTAAGACTACAGTTCTCAGGCCGGGCTTGGCTGTTATGATGTCACTTTAAGACTACAACTCTCAGGCTGGGCTTGGCTGTTATGATGCCTCTTTAAGACTACAAATCTCAAGCCGGGCTTGGCGGTTATTATGCCTATTTAAGACTACAACTCTCAAGCTGGGCTTGGCTGTTATGATGCCTCTTTAAGACTACAACTCTCAAGCTGGGCTTGGCTGTTATGATGCCACTTTAAGACTACAACTCTCAAGCTGGGCTTGGCTGTTATGATGCCTCTTTAAGACTACAACTCTCAAGCTGGGCTTGGCTGTTATGATGCCACTTTAAGACTACAACTCTCAAGCTGGGCTTGGCTGTTATGATGCCTCTTTAAGACTACAGTTCTCAGGCAGGGCTTGGCTGTTATGATGCCACTTCAAGATTACAGCTATCAAGCTGGGCTTGGCTGTTATGATGCCACTTTAAGACTACAACTCTCAAGCTGGGCTTGGCTGTTATGATGCCTCTTTAAGACTACAGTTCTCAGGCAGGACTTGGCTGTTATGATGCCTCTTTAAGACTACAGCTATCAAGCTGGGCTTGGCTGTTATGATGCCTCTTTAAGACTACAACTCTCAAGCTGGGCTTGGCTGTTATGATGCCTCGTTAAGACTACAACTCTCAAGCTGGGCTTGGCTGTTATGATGCCTCTTTAAGACTACAGCTCCCAGGCAGGACTTGGCTGTTATGATGCCACTTTAAGACTACAGCCCTCAGGCTGGGCTTGGCTGTTATGATGCCTCTTTAAGACTACAACTCTCAGGCTGGGCTTGGCTGTTATGATGCCTCTTTAAGACTACAGCCCGTAGGCAGGGCTTGGCTGTTATGATGCCTCTTTACGACTACAACTCTCACGCTGGGCTTGGCAAGATCAGGGGGTTGACAACAGATGACGCGATTCTTGACGCATTCGGCCCCGGTGACCCGCGGCCGTTGCTCCGATTTCGGGTCGGGCGGGACGTTGATTCCATTCCAAACCCTCCTCCTCCTGCTCCTCGGAGCTTCCGACAACACACCGTGTGCATCCCGTCACGAACCCGGCCTCCGTGGTGGGTCCCCGCCCGCCTGCCCGCCTTGCCCTCCCTAGGAGAACGACGCTCGCGCTAAGAGAGAGGCGAGCGCGACGTCGATGAGCGTGAGGCCCCACGGACTCGTCGTCATCATTGCCTTGCCCCCCGCCGAGCTGAACGATCCTCCCAGCTTCATCCCTGGAGGGGGCGGGGGAGGGGCGGGGGGGGAGATACAAACGCGGTCGTGAATACCGAGGGGCCAATCGGAACGTCCGTGGTCTGACGGTGGAGGTTCGCCGGTGGGATGATTCGTCGATTCGTTCACCGCGACATTAATTCGTTGGTTTCTCCGTCCGTGCGTGTTGAAGACTCGGGCTGCCGGACAATCACCGTCTCGTCCACTAGCACCACCACCATCGCACTGTAGGTCACAACACACTCACCCACTCACTCATCTACCCACTCACTCATCTACCCACTCACCCACCCACCCACTCACTCATCTACCCACTCACTCATCTACCCACTCACTCATCTACCCACCCACCCACTTACTCGCCCACTCACGCGCTGGCCACTACACTACCCCTTCTCACGGCCACACACGCACACACACACATGCACACACACACACGCGCGCACACACACACTTAAGCACACGCACACACACACTCAAGCACACACACACACGCGCACACTCACGCGCACACACACGCGCACACTCAAGTACACGCACACACACACGTGCACACACACACGGATGCACACACACACGGATGCACACACACACACTCAAGCACACACACACGCACGCGCACACACACGCACGCGCACACACACGCACACACGCACACACGCACACTAAAGCACACGCACACACACGGATGCACACACACACGCACGCGCGCACACGCACAAACGTATGCACACACACACGCGCACACACACACACTCAAGCACACGCACACACGCACACACTCAAGCACACGCACACACGCACGCGCACACACACAACAACAACAACAACAACCGCCATTCGCCACTAAGTGGCGGTGACGTCACCACGACGCTTGTGCCAGGCTATGTGCACCCTGAGGCCACGTGAAGTGTCGAACGCCCGCTGGCAGGAGGTCACGGGGCAGACCCAGGTGCCACGGGTCGACTGACTGAGATGACTGGCTGATGCACCACCTGTGCCCCCTACTGTGCCAACCTGCTGTGCTTTAGCCACCCGGCGCTCCGCTCGCTGTTGTGAGCGTCGCTCCTCCGCCCTCCGTTGTTGTTGGAGGGCGACTGCCTCCAACTGCCCAGTAGCATCCTTCACGAGCCTCCTCCACAGAGGCCGATCTTGACACCGCTGGTACCAGTCATCGGCAAGTCCACTCAGCTCCACGTCCTCCTGTACCACATCACTCCATCTCTTCTCTAGCCCGTGCCGCGCCCGCTTAGCCCCCTCAATCCGGCCAAACAAAAGCTGTTTCGGCATGCGGTGGCTGGGCATGCGGGCTACATGACCCAGCCATCGCAGCCTTGCCTGCCGGAGGAGCTCACCGATGGGACCCTGCCCAGATCTTTCAAGGATTTGTGAGCTCCTCACACAATCCAGTCTGGTTAAACCCAGGATGGATCGTAGGCAGGCCAGCCTAAATGTTTCTAACCGGCGAAGATGTTCCATTCGGGGGGTCCACGTTTCGCAAGCATAGAGAAGGGAGGGAATGACCGTGGCCGAGAAGACCTGAAGCTTAGTGCGGAGCGACAGACCAGGTAGCTTCCACACAGCGTTACGCAACCGATGAAAAGATATTGCCGCTCGACTGATTCGGAGTGAGACCTCTGCTGTTAAACTGGAGCCAGTCATAAGCACACTGCCCAGGTATGGGAAACTCTCCACTCTCTCCACAACTGCCCCATCACCGATTGGGAGTTGTGGTGGTGGAGTGTCCGATGGTACAAAATACCCAGGCAGGTGCTTAGTTTTGGTGGGGCTGATGGTAAGGCCCCACCTCTTAGTGGCATGCTCCAGTCTCAGCAGCAGCGTCTCCAACTCCTCCTCTGACTGAGCAGCTATTACCAAGTCATCAGCATACATAACGTGGTTGAGCAATAGGGAGCCATCCCTTGACCGCACCCGGGCATCGATTAGCCTCCCATTATATCTGTACCATATGGAGATTCCCCCGGTACAGCTATTGAAGGCTTCACGAACTACGTGGTCAAAATAGATGTTAAATAATGTGGGAGCCAAAGGACATCCCTGTCGCACCCCAAGGTGTACAGGGAATGGCTCTGACTCCCGGCCACGTAGTTTTACCCGGGCCCGCTCACCATCATGAAGGTCCTTAATGATCGTGAGCAGAGGGTCAGGTACTCCAAAAGCACGAAGAACGACCCAGAGCCCAGGCCTACTGATGGTATCATAGGCCTTGACCAGGTCAATAAAGCAGAGATGTAGGTCTTGTTGGAATTCCCTACACCTCTGCTGTAGCAGACGGACAGAAAATATGGCATCTGTGCAGGACCCGCCCTTTCCTGAAACCGCATTGGGGCTCCGCAAGCCTCTCCTCAGCGTGCCTGGCAAGGCGATGCTGAATAATCCTTGCCAGGACCTTTCCCGGCACACTGAGGAGTGAGATGCCCCTGTAGTTGTTACAGTCTGTGCGGTCCCCCTTCTTAAAAAGGGGGACCACCAGGGCATCCTTCCAATCCTGCGGAACCCGTCCAGTGGTCCAGACTGTTGTTATGATGTCATATAGGGCAGTCTGTGCACAAACGCCACCCTCCCTCAGCATTTCGCTTGGGAGATCATCTCTGCCCGCTGCCTTTCCTGGTCTCAGACTCCGGATCGCCTTCAATACTTCCTCAGCAGATGGCACCTCAGCCAGCCACTCACAGGGGGTGACTTCATCCAATATTTGAGGCACCGCAGCCTCAGCAGGGTCATCCTCACTTTGTGCCGCGATGTTTTCCTGGCTGAGGGATTTTCCCTCCCCCAGGACCTCACAGAAATGCTCAGCAAATCTGCGAACCTGTTCCTGGGGGTCAGAAATTGGATCACCGTTTTTTCCCCTAATGATGGTAATAGGTGTGGCGCTGCAGGTTACTTTTTTGATGGAGTTAAATAGAGATTTGTGATCACGGGTCACTGAGGCAGACTCCATCTCCTCAGCAACCCGCGACCACCACCCATCCTTGCAGCGCCTCACGGCTCTCCGAACCTCCGAGCGAAGGCTGCGGTAAGCCTCCTCATTCTCTGACGTGGGATTCTGTAGCCGATGACAGTGGGCCTGTCGCTTTTTCTCAACCATCGTGAACAACTCCTCTGTCATCCAGGGTGTCTGGGGAGGTCTGGACCGCGTACCCAAAGCAGCCATTGCAGCTGCATGAGTCACAGTCCTAAACCTCGCCCATTTACCCTCGACATCAGGAGGAGTCGGGGACGATGCCAATCCCAGCCGCAAGCGATGATGAAATTCTCGCTTGCAACTTTCATCAGATAACTGAGACCAGGCCACTTTAGGTTGGAATGGGGTCCTGGGTGTACACCCACCACCGGAGTGGAAGAATGGCAGGCGCATCTTACAGATGACTAGTCGATGGTCAGAGGGCAGATCAGCTCCACGGTAGGTCCTGGTGTCAAGGACATGGGCTCGCATTCGCTGGTCCGTCACTATGTAGTCCAGCAGATGTTCTTGCTTGGACCCGGCATGCATCCATGATGTTGTGTGGATGCGCCGATGCCGGAACAGCGTGTTGGTAATTACAAGCCCATGGGCTGCACAAAAATCTAGCAGCCTCCTACCGTTGTTATTGAGCTGATCTGGCCCATGCCCTCCAATCACTCCAGACCAGGTGCCAGTATCATGACCAACTCGGGCATTGAAGTCACCCAACATGATGACTCTATCCCGAGGGGCCACTTTAGCCAGCACCTGTGACAGGAGGTCATAGAAGGCATCTGACTCATCGGCTTTGCCTGCATCCCTCCACGGATGTTCATCTTCGGTGGGGGCATAAGTAACCACGACCACCATTCCTCGCCTCCGGTTGATGGGAAGGCGAGCCCAAAGTAGCCTGGGGCTTACAGCTTCCCACACCTCACCGCCACGCTCCCACGCCCCCTTCATTCTTTTGTTCAAAAGAAGACCCACACCCTGTTGTTTGGCAGTCTGCTGCCCCGAGTAGAGGACTGTCCACCCCTCATGGTGGCAGGAGCCAGAGCCGGTCCACCGGACCTCCTGAATGCCGCATAGATCCAGGCGGTACCGGTCCAGCTCCCGACAGAGGAGTGGCAGCCTCTCCTCTGCAGTGAGCGTTCGAACATTCCACGTGGCCAACCGTAGTGGCTTTTCGTTGTTTCTGGAGTAGCCCCGAGGGTAGGTATTCAATCTCCTGGCTCCGCCAATTGGGGTTTGGCCAGGAGACGTCATAGACGCCTGGCCCCCCGGGGCCTCCGGCACAAGCTTAGTTGTTACATATTTCATTCGTAGTTTCGTGGTAATTAATTGAAGGTGGAGGGGTTACCAGCCCCTCGCACCCGTCCAGAGCCCCCGTTTAGCCCCTGTGGTGGACACATATGCCATGAGGGGAGGAGCCAATCAAAATTGGATCTCCCCCCACAGCGCTGTCCACGACAGAGTTGCCCGTCCGGCACCGCGAGGAGGTAGGGGGTTGTTTTGCCGGACACACACACACACACACACGTACACACACACACTCAAGCACACGCACACAACAACAACAACCGCCATTCGCCACTAAGTGGCGGTGACGTCACCACGACGCTTGTGCCAAGCTATGTGCACCCTGAGGCCACGTGAAGTGTCGAACGCCCGCTGGCAGGAGGTCACGGGGCAGACCCAGGTGCCACGGGTCGACTGACTGAGATGACTGGCTGCTGCACCACCTGTGCCCCCTACTGTGCCAACCTGCTGTGCTTTAGCCACCCGGCGCTCCGCTCGTTGTTCTGAGCGTCGCTCCTCCGCCCTCCGTTGTTGTTGGAGGGCGACTGCCTCCAACTGCCCAGTAGCGTCCTTCACGAGCCTCCTCCACAGAGGCCGATCTTGACACCGCTGGTACCAGTCATCGGCAAGTCCACTCAGCTCCACGTCCTCCTGTACCACATCACTCCATCTCTTCTCTAGCCCATGCCGCGCCCGCTTAGCCCCCTCGATCCGGCCGAACAAAAGCTGTTTCGGCATGCGGTGGCTGGGCATGCGGGCTACATGACCCAGCCATCGCAGCCTTGCCCGCCGGAGGAGCTCACCGATGGGACCTTGCCCAGATCTTTCAAGGATTTGTGAGCTCCTCACACAATCCAGTCTGGTTAAACCCAGGATGGATCGTAGGCAGCCCAGCCTAAATGTTTCTAACCGGCAAAGATGTTCCATTAGGGGGGTCCACGTTTCGCAAGCGTAGAGAAGGGAGGGAATGACCGTGGCCGAGAAGACCTGAAGCTTAGTGCGGAGCGACAGACCAGGTAGCTTCCACACAGCGTTACGCAACCGATGAAAAGATATTGCCGCTCGACTAATTCGGAGTGAGACCTCTGCTGTTAAACTGGAGCCAGTCATAAGCACACTGCCCAGGTATGGGAAACTCTCCACTCTCTCCACAACTGCCCCATCACCGATTTGGAGTTGTGGGGGTGGAGTGTCCGATGGTACAAAATACCCAGGCAGGTGCTTAGTTTTGGTGAGGCTGATGGTAAGGCCCCACCTCTTAGTGGCACGCTCCAGTCTCAGCAGCAGCGTCTCCAACTCCTCCTCTGACTGAGCAGCTATTACCAATCATCAGCATACATAACGTGGTTGAGCAATAGGGAGCCATCCCTTGACCGCACCCGGGCATCGATCAGCCTCCCATTATATCTGTACCATATGGAGATTCCCCCGGTACAGCTATTGAAGGCTTCACGAACTACGTGGTCAAAATAGATGTCAAATAATGTGGGAGCCAGAGGACATCCCTGTCGCACCCCAAGGTGTACAGAGAATGGCTCTGACTCCAGGCCACGTAGTTTTACCCTGGCCCGCTCACCATCATGAAGGTCCTTAATGGTCGTGAGCAGAGGGTCAGGGACTCCAAAAGCACGAAGAACAACCCAGAGCCCAGGCCTACTGATGGCATCATAGGCCTTGACCAGGTCAATAAAGCAGAGATGTAGGTCTTGTTGGAATTCCCTACACCTCTGCTGTAGCAGACGGACAGAAAATATGGCATCTGTGCAGTACCGCCCTTTCCTGAAACTGCATTGGGGCTCCGCAAGCCTCTCCTCAGCGTGCCTGGCAAGGCGATGCTGAATAATCCTTGCCAGGACCTTTCCCGGCACACTGAGGAGTGAGATGCCCCTGTAGTTATTACAGTCTGTGCGGTCCCCCTTCTTAAAAAAAGGGGGACCACCAGGGCATCCTTCCAATCCTGCGGAACCCGTCCAGTGGTCCAGACCGTTGTTATGATGTCATATAGGGCAGTCTGTGCACAAACGCCACCCTCCCTCAGCATTTGGCTTGGGAGATCATCTCTGCCCGCTGCCTTTCCTGGTCTCAGACTCCGGATCGCCTTCAGTACTTCCTCAACAGATGGCACCTCAGCCAGCCACTCACAGTGGGTGACTTCTTCCAATATTTGAGGCACCGCAGCCACAGCAGGGTCATCCTCACTTTGTGCCACGATGTTTTCCTGGCTGAGGGATTTTCCCTCCCCCAGGACCTCACAGAAATGCTCAGCAAATCTGCAAACCTGTTCCTGGGGGTCTGAGATTGGATCACCGTTTTTTCCCCTAATGATGGTAATAGGTGTGGCGCTGCAGGTTACTTTTTTGATGGAGTTAAATAGAGATTTGTGATCACGGGCCACTGAGACAGACTCCATCTCCTCAGCAACCCGTGACCACCACCCATCCTTGCAGCGCCTCACGGCTCTCCGAACCTCCGAGCGAAGGCTGCGGTAAGCCTCCTCATTCTCTGACGTGGGATTCTGTAGCCGATGACAGTGGGCCTTTCGCTTTTTCTCAACCATCCTGAACACCTCCTCTGTCAGCCAGGGTCTCTGGGGAGGTCTGGACCGCGTACCCAAAGCAGCCATTGCAGCTGCATGAGCCACAGTCCTAAACCTCGCCCATTTACCCTCGACATCTGGAGGAGTCGGGGACGATGCCAATCCCCCGGTCCTGGCTGTACACCCACCACCGGAGTGGAAGAATGGCAGGCGCATCTTACAAATGACTAGTCGATGGTCAGAGGGCAGATCAGCTCCACGGTGGGTCCTGGTGTCAAGGACATTGGCTCGCATCCGCTGGTCCGTCACTATGTAGTCCAGCAGATGTTCTTGCTTGGACCCGGCATGCATCCATGATGTTGTGTGGATGCGCCGATGCCAGAACAGCGTGTTGGTAATTACAAGCCCATGGGCTGCACAAAAATCTAGCAGCCTCCTACCGTTGATATTGAGCTGATCTGGCCCATGCCCTCCAATCACTCCAGACCAGGTGCTAGTATCATGACCAACTCGGGCATTGAAGTCACCCAACATGATGACTCTATCCCGAGAGGCCACTTTAGCCAGCACCTGTGACAGGAGGTCATAGAAGGCATCTGACTCATCGGCTTTGCCTGCATCCCTCCACGGATGTTCATCTTCGGTGGGGGCATAAGTAACCACCACCACCATTCCTCGCCTCCGGTTGATGGGAAGGCGAGCCCAAAGTAGCCTGGGGCTTACAGCTTCCCACACCTCACCGCCACGCTCCCACGCCCCCTTCATTCTTTTGTTCAAAAGAAGAGCCACACCCTGTTGTTTGGCAGTCTGCTGCCCCGAGTAGAGAACTGTCCACCCCTCATAGTGGCAGGAGCCAGAGCTGGTCCACCGGACCTCCTGAATGCCACAGAGATCCAGGCGGTACCGGTCCAGCTCCCGACAGAGGAGTGGTAGCCTCTCCTCCGCAGTGAGCGTTCGAACATTCCACGTGGCCACCCGTAGTGGCTTTTAGTTGTTTCTGGAGGAGCCCCGAGGGTAGATATTCAATCTCCTGGCTCCGCCAATTGGGGTTTGGCCAGGAGACGTCATAGACGCCTGGCCCCCCGGGGCCTCCGGCACAAGCTTATTAGTTACATATTTCAGTTTAACTCGTGGTTTCGTGGTAATTAATTGAAGGTGGAGGGGTTACCAGCCCCTCGCACCCGTCCAGAGCCCCCGTTTAGCCCCTGTGGTGGACACATTTGCCATGAGGGGAGGAGCCAATCAAAATTGGATCTCCCCCCACAGCACTGTCCACGACAGAGTTGCCCGTCCGGCACTGCGAGGAGGTAGGGGGTTGTTTTGCCGGATACGCACACACACACACACGCGCACACACACGCGCACACACACACGTACGCACACGTACGCACACACACACATGCACACACACGTGGACACACGCGCCGGGCGGCTACACCAGCCCCTACCGGAGCTGGCCTTGTGCGGCACCCGCACTTGCGTGCTGGCGCTGCCCTCGCCCTCCGCGCTGCAGGCGCGCACTTCCACCACGAGCGCCGCGCCGACGCCGCCGCTGCCGCGGCCGCCGCTCCCGAGCGGTAAGGGGATCTCCACCCGCGTCTCGTTGGTCAGCAGCTCGCGAGCGCCCGTCTGGCCCAGCGACCGGTATCGAACCTGGGGGGGTGTGGGGGGGTGGGAATTTTTATTTAAATTTTTAGCAGCACACAGCCTTCGAAATGCGGTGGGGGGTTGTTTGTGGGTTTTTTTTGTTCCTCCTTCCCCCGGAAGACTTTTGCCGGTTTTTTTCCCCAGGATTTTTTGATTTTTTTTTCCCTCCCCCGTCGCGCGTCATCACTTTAAGACGTTTCCTCGTTCATGAGTCAAGAGCCGCACGGCTCACGGGGTTATGCCTAAGACATGAAACTGAGGCGCGGGACACGGGGCACGGGACACGTCACCGCCCTACCTTGCCGCACTGCCTATCCTGCTACGTCTCTGCTTGAACCGAAGACGCTCCCAATCTTCGCTCTCTCTCTCTCTCTCGGTCTGTTCCTCCTCCTCCTCCTCGTGATCAGTCACGTTCGCGAGGACGCGCACGCACAGAAGTGTTTGTCGTCGCGGCTTCGATGCCCAAGCACACCCCAAGGCCGTAATTATAATTTATATTGAGTGGGACACATCCCCCCCCAATATTCAAATATCCTCAAAATGTCGTCCCCCCCCCCCAATATATTGCTATAACAAATAAAAATTGCGATGCTTTGTAACTAAAAACAACAATTTGCTAAAACTTGGTCACAATATCTGGACTTGTTTTCACACAATCCATAGATTTCTGCTTAAATGGTTGTGATTGAAAGCTTTCGTGACTGCAGGGATTCATATTCTTGGTTCCTTCGGTAAAGTCACCACCGCGTAGAAGGGAAACAATAAAATTATAAAAATATAAAAACAATAAAATTATCACGACGTTTCGAATGCAACACAAGCAATCATCATAAGGTGTGAATATTTTATCGTTTCCCTTCCTACTTTATTAATCCCTAATCTCTGCCATTACATACAATGAAACAAGTAATGGTAAAAAACGTAAAAACAGAGCAACATAGTACAATATACACTGTTAGACATCATTGTAATAAATAAATAAATAAGCAGTACATCCCGTGTGTTAGTGACTTTTGTAATATTTTAGGCAGGAAATTAGTTTTTAAAATTGAGATTTATTTTTTTCTGGGGGGGGGGGGGGGACCCCCAGACCCCCTGCAAGCGTTGCCCCCCCCTCCCCAATGTTGACTCCATGGCTACGGCCGTGCCCTTGACGCCCGCACATTCGGGTTGTCCATCACAGCGCGACACCTCGAGACTCGCCGCCAACGCCGCTGATGGGCCGAGCGGAGGTGGCGGAGAGGGAGGGGGAGGGGGCAGGGGGTGGTGAAGGCCCTACCCTGCAGCACGGGGGGGGCAGGGGGGGGGTGGAGGGGGGGGGTGAAGGCCCTGCCTTGTAGCCCGTGGGGTGGAGGGGGGGCAGGGGGAGGTGAAGGCCCTACCCTGTAGCCCGTGGGGGGGCAGGGGGAGGTGAAGGCCCTACCTTGTAGCCCGTGGGGTGGAGGGGGTGGAGGTGAAGGCCCTACCTTGTAGCCCGTGGGGTGGAGGGGGTGGAGGTGAAGGCCCTACCTTGTAGCCCGTGGGGTGGAGGGGGTGGAGGGGGTGGAGGTGAAGGCCCTACCTTGTAGCCCGTGACGGCCGACTCGTTGTCGAGAGGGGCCACGTGCTCCCAGCTGAGGGTCACGTGCACGCCGTCCGTTCTCCACTGCGTGATTCTGGGCGGCTTGCTCGGAGCTGCGGACAAACGACACCGACGAACGAACCGGGGGTTACGGGGGGGGCGTGGTTGGGGGGAGGTGAGTGGGGGGTTGGGGGGGGTGGATGGGGGGGGAGTGGGGGGGGGTGGATGGGGGGGGCTGTGCCGTGACCTCTGACTCGGGTCGCCTTTTCCGCCGTCGGCCCAACGCGGACGAGAGAGTTCGCGTCAGTTCGGCGGGGGGTCGGTTAACTGTATGGGTGGGTGGGTGAGTGAGTGAGTGGGTGAGTGAGTGGTGAGTGAGTGGGTGGGTGAGTGGTGAGTGAGTGGGTGGGTGGGTGAGTGGTGAGTGAGTGGGTGGGTGGGTGGTGAGTGGGTGGGTGAGTGAGTGGTGAGTGAGTGGGTGGGTGGGTGGTGAGTGAGTGGGTGAGTGGGTGGGTGAGTGGTGAGTGAGTGGGTGGGTGGGTGAGTGAGTGGGTGGGTGGGTGAGTGAGTGAGTGGGTGGGTGAGTGAGTGGTGAGTGAGTGGGTGGGTGGGTGAGTGGGTGGGTGGGTGGGTGGGTGGTGAGTGAGTGGGTGGGTGGGTGGGTGTGTGGGTGGGTGAGTGAGTGGTGAGTGAGTGGGTGAGTGAGTGGTGAGTGAGTGGGTGGGTGAGTGGTGAGTGAGTGGGTGGGTGGGTGAGTGTGTGGGTGGGTGGGTGAGTGAGTGGGTGGTTGAGTGAGTGGTGAGTGAGTGGGTGGGTGGGTGGGTGAGTGGGTGGGTGGGTGGGTGGTGAGTGAGTGGGTGGATGAGTGGGTGGGTGGGTGGGTGAGTGGGTGGGTGGGTGAGTGAGTGGTGAGTGAGTGGGTGGGTGGGTGGTGAGTGAGTGGGTGAGTGGGTGGGTGAGTGGTGAGTGAGTGGGTGGGTGGGTGAGTGGGTGGGTGGGTGAGTGAGTGGGTGGGTGAGTGAGTGGTGAGTGAGTGGGTGGGTGGGTGGGTGAGTGGGTGGGTGGGTGGGTGGTGAGTGAGTGGGTGGGTGGATGAGTGGGTGGGTGGGTGAGTGGGTGGGTGAGTGAGTGGTGAGTGAGTGGGTGGGTGGGTGGTGAGTGAGTGGGTGAGTGGGTGGGTGAGTGGTGAGTGAGTGGGTGGGTGAGTGGGTGGGTGGGTGGGTGGGTGGGTGGGTGGGTGGGTGGTGAGTGAGTGGGTGGGTGAGTGGGTGGGTGGGTGGGTGAGTGGGTGGGTGAGTGAGTGGTGAGTGAGTGGGTGGGTGGGTGGTGAGTGAGTGGGTGAGTGGGTGGGTGAGTGGTGAGTGAGTGGGTGGGTGGATGAGTGGGTGGGTGAGTGGGTGGGTGAGTGAGTGGTGAGTGAGTGGGTGGGTGGGTGAGTGGGTGGGTGGGTGGTGAGTGAGTGGGTGGATGAGTGGGTGGGTGGGTGGGTGAGTGGGTGGGTGAGTGAGTGGTGAGTGAGTGGGTGGGTGGGTGGTGAGTGAGTGGGTGAGTGGGTGGGTGAGTGGTGAGTGAGTGGGTGGGTGGGTGAGTGGGTGGGTGGGTGGGTGAGTGAGTGGGTGGGTGAGTGAGTGGTGAGTGAGTGGGTGGGTGGGTGGGTGAGTGGGTGGGTGGGTGGTGAGTGAGTGGGTGGATGAGGTGGGTGGTTGGTGGGTGAGTGGGTGGGTGGGTGAGTGAGTGGGTGGGTGGGTGGGTGAAGGGGTGGGTGGGTGGGTGAGTAAGTGGGTGGGTGGGTGAGTGGGTGGGTGGGTGGGTGAGTGAGTGGGTGGGTGGGTGAGTGGGTGGGTGAGTGGGTGGGTGAATGGGTGGGTGAGTGAGTGATTGGGTGAGTGGGTGGGTGAGTGGGTGGGTGAGTGGGTGGGTGGGTGAGTGAGTGGGTGGGTGGGTGGGTGAAGGGGTGGGTGGGTGGGTGAGTAAGTGGGTGGGTGGGTGAGTGAGTGGGTGGGTGAGTGGGTGGGTGAGTGGGTGGGTGAATGGGTGGGTGAGTGAGTGATTGGGTGAGTGGGTGGGTGAGTGAGTGAGTGGGTGAGTGAGTGGGTGGGTGAGTGAGTGGGTGGGTGAGTGAGTGGGTGAGTGAGTGGGAGGTCGTTTCATGGATAGACTCGTCCCCACCACAGGAACGTGGAATTCCCACCGCTGGCTCTGCAAGCACCTGTAAGCGCTCGCGTGACCAGGCATCTACGCCGACGTCCGTGGCGTGGATGCAGCGAGGAGCACGCGAGGTGTAACACACGTGGTGTAACACACGAGGTGTAACACAGTGACTAGTGGGGTATAACACACGTGCTGTTACACCACGTGGTATAACGCACGTGGTGTAACACACGTGGTGTAACGCACGTGGTGTAACGCACGTGGTGTAACGCACGTGGTGTAACGCACGTGGTGTAACGCACGTGGTGTAACGCACGTGGTGTAACACACGTGGTGTAACACACGTGGTGTAACACAGTGTTAATGGGGTGTAACGCACGTGGTGTAACACAGTGACTAGCGGGGTGTAACACACGTGGTGTAACACACGTGGTGTAACGCACGTGGTGTAACGCACGTGGTGTAACACACGTGGTGTAACACAGTGACTAGTGGGGTGTAACACACGTGGTGTAACGCACGTGGTGTAACACAGTGTTAATGGGGTGTAACACACGTGGTGTAACACAGTGAGTAGTGGGGTGTAACACACGTGGTGTAACACAGTGACTAGCGAGGTGTAACGCACGTGCTTTCCTAGTGGTGACCAGGCTGGCCGCGCCGGAAGGCCCCGTCCCGGCGCCGTTGAAGGCCCGCACCGTCACCTCGTACTCCGCGTGCTCGCGAAGGCCCAGGAGGCGGACGCGGTCCTTCGTGCCGCCCGGCGTCCTCAGCAGGGTCGTGGCGCCCTTCGGCGCGTCCACGCTTCGCCGGTACGCCACCTGTCGATGGTGGGGGGGCACGGCAGGCACGGGGTGGGAGCAAGGTGACGCGAGGTTCCTCGAGGAGCTTGAACCGTCGCCACACAAACTCCGGTCAGCGGCGGCTTTTGGCTGCTGGCAGGCCAATCGTGTCGGACCAACTCCACGGGAGTTCCCGTGACCACCCCCCCCCCCCCACCACGTTAGACGCGGACGCACGAGGGTAGGTGGACGTGCTAGGGTAGGTGGACGAGTGAGGGTAGGTGGACGTGCTAGGGTAGGTGGACGTGCTAGGGTAGGTGGACATGCTAGGGTAGGTGGACGTGCTAGGGTAGGTGGACATGCTAGGGTAGGTGGACGTGCTAGGGTAGGTGGACGAGCGAGGGTAGGTGGACGAGCTAGGGTAGGTGGACACGAGCGAGGGTAGGTGGACGAGCTAGGGTAGGTGGACGAGCGAGGGTAGGTGGACACGAGCGAGGGTAGGTGGACGTGCTAGGGTAGGTGGACGAGTGAGGGTAGGTGGACACGTGCTAGGGTAGGTGGACGAGTGAGGGTAGGTGGACACGTGCTAGGGTAGGTGGACGAGTGAGGGTAGGTGGACACGTGCTAGGGTAGGTGGACGAGTGAGGGTAGGTGGACACGTGCTAGGGTAGGTGGTCACGAGCGAGGGTAGGTGGACGTGCCGAGACCTCGTAGCCGTCGATGCGCTGCTCGCCCAGCAGGGCGGGTGGAAGCGCTTGCCATGCGACTTCCACCTCGGACGACGACAGGGCCCTCGCGCGCACGCCCAGCGGTGCCACGGTGGGTGCTGGCGTGAATACATAAACACTATTAACGACACGAATATTCATGTTAATGATCAAATAAATGAGACCCATTTCCACGATCGATATACGGGGGATCAATTTTCCTTTTTTTTTTGCTTTTGCCGGCGTCCAGATGATTAAAACAGAAGAGGCAAACGTGATGCCTTGTATAAAGGTGTCAGTTTTTGTGCCAGATGAAAGGGTAAAACCTATTACTATATCTTGTTTCTGGCAAAGGAGGTCTCATAATGTTAATGCTCACCCCGAGCCCTCAGTACTCTGATAGTGCGCTGTTTTTGAGTTGTACGCCTTTTGGCGTCTTCTGGTCCAACACCAGTGGAGACTAGGGGCTCTAAGAAAAGCCGTCTCGGGTGTGGACCAATCAAATTCAAGGACAGCGCATATTATTATCAGAGTTGTCTTTTTTGTTTGCATTTTGACTGCTTGTGTTGTGGTTATTGCAAACATGATGCCTTGTATAAAGGTGTCAGTTTTTGTGCCAGATGAAAGGGTAAAAACCTATTACTATATCTTGTTTCTGGCAAAGGAGGTCTCATAATGTTAATGCTCACCCCGAGCCCTCAGTACTCTGATAGTGCGCTGTTTTTGAGTTGTACGCCTTTTGGCGTCTTCTGGTCCAACACCAATGGAGACTAGGCTCTAAGAAAAGCCGTCTCGGGTGTGGACCAATCAAATTCAAGGACAGTGCATATTATTATCAGAGTTGTCTCTTTTTTGTTTGCATTTTGGCTGCTTGTGTTGTGGTTATTGCAAACATGATGCCTTGAATAAAGGTGGCAGTTTTTGTGCCAGTTAAAAGGGTAAAACCTATTACTATATCTTGTTACTGGCAAAGGAGGTCTCATAATGTTAATGCTCACCCCGAGCCCTCAGTACTCTGATAGTGCGCTGTTTTTTGAGTTGTACGCCTTTTGGCATCTTCTGGTCCAACACCAGTGGAGACTAGGGGCTCTAAGAAAAGCCGTCTCGGGTGTGGACCAATCAAATTCAAGGACAGTGCATATTATTATCAGAGTTGTCTCTTTTGTTTGCATTTTGGCTGCTTGTGTTGTGGTTATTGCAAACATGATGCCTTGAATAAAGGTGGCAGTTTTTGTGCCGGATAAAAGGGGTGAAAACCTATTACTGGAAGAGGCTTTCATCGTGAAAAGGTTGTTTTTCCGCCCTATATTACGGACGAAATTGGTCGCGGAAGCCGACGTGTTCGATCATTTCGTCTTGGTGCTGTTTTATTTTGGGTTAGGTCGCGCGACGGACGAACGCGTCGTTCACCCACCCCCACCTGACGGCGAATTTGCACGCGATGACGACGAAGCCTGCTTCGTTGAGCTGCGACCGTTCGTGACTTCTGAAAGGTAACGGTCTGTGAAGCTCGGTGGGCCTTCAGCATGGTGAAATAAAACGTCTCTCTTGTAGCTAGTTCAACAGTGTTAAAATGGTTGAACACGTAGGCTTTCGCGACCAATATTACCCAAAACAAGAGGGGTAAATATCAATGCCGTGTCGTTAACCCACCACCACCACCACCACCCTACACAGCCAATCGTCAAGGTTGTATCACGTAAACAAAACGTGCCAATTATAGTTAACTATATATTATATTCTTAGCTCTTTCGGTAAAGTCACGTTGAAGGGAAACAATAAAATAATAAAATAAATATAAAACAATAAAAAAATTATCACGACGTTTCGACCATAACACAAACGGTCGTCATCAGGTGTGTCGGTTTGCATAAATTTATTTATTTTTAAACGGTGTATTTATTTATAAAAAAAAACGTCAGCGCCACGCGCAGCGATTTGGCAGTTTATTTAGAAGGACGAGTCCATCTATGTTCTGAAAAGAGGAGGGGGGAGACGAAAAATTAATGTATGCTGTCTGAAAGCCACCACCGTAAGCGTGAACAATCAATTAAGACCTGAAATGGTTAATCAAATCCTTCCAATGATTGCTAAGCCAGAATCCATCTTCAACGTGACTTTACCGAAAGAGCTAAGCATATGAATTACTGCCGTCACGAAAGCTTTAAATCAAAATATATATTATATTCTTAGCTCTTTCGGTAAAGTCACGTTGAAGGGAAACAATAAAATAATAAAATATATATAAAACAATAGTTAACTACTTTTTGGCACTAACCGCTTGCGCGGCGGAGAGTGAACCCGCGAGATTTTCAATTCGAGAAGCCGTGACGTTCCGCTGGTGATTGCAACAACCAACACCCGGCTTCAGAACTGGTGAGAGGTGGGGTGAGTGGAAGGGTTCGGCGTTATCAGTGGCTGATCGGGGAGGAAGAGGGGGGGGGGGGCTTTGTTACCCTTTCCGGCAAGAATACAACGGGCGCCGCCCTGGCTATGAGATGTTAACTACCTCTCTTGGTACGCGGGAGGTCGTGGCTTCGATCCCGAGCTTGACGCCTGCTGCTGCTGTATATTTGGAGTTTGTGTCTCTCTATCATCATCATCACGGTGGCTAGAAGATGTTAACTACCTCGCCTGGTGTACAGGAGGTCGTGGGTACGATCCTGACCCTGACGCCTGCTGCTGCTGTATATTTGGAGTTTGCGTGTCTCTCTCATCATCATCCTCACGGTGGCTAGGAGATGTTAACTACCTCGCCTGGTGTACAGGAGGTCGTGGGTACGATCCTGACCCTGACACCTGCTCTATATTTGGAGTTTGCGTGCCTCTCTCTCTTCCCGTGGTGGTCGTGTGGAGTTTTTTTCCGGGTCCTCCGGTTTTTCCCTCCACATTTTGAATCGACGTCACTACGCGTTTAAGAGTATTCGGCCGTTGGTATAAAATTTCCACATCATGATGATGATGATAAGCAACTTATCATCATCATCATCAAATGAAACTCACATTCGTGATGGTCAGGTCGCACCTGCAGAAAAGCTACATAGCTCAGTGCACCTCACGTCCGGTAAAATAAAGAAAAATAGCTTCTAGTTTGAGTTTGTACAGGAGGTGTTAAAATATTAAAACCCCAAATAGACGACACCTATTATCGCAGGCAATCAAGTCCGCATTAACCACACACCGTGCTTGTGGTAAAACATGCAAACAAAGCAACAACTCTAATAATAATAATATTAATGATGTACTCATTGTCCTTGGAAGTGATTGGCCCACACCAGAGACAAACTCCTTTGTGGCCGAGTCTCAGCGGACGATAGAGCGGGAGATTGTCTACCTCCGTCAGTTCTCGTCACAGCACCCGCTCCCCGATCACCCACCGCTAACTCCTCACCCTTCCACTCACCCTCCCCACCCCCCTTCCCCGATCACCCACCGCTAAACTCCTCACCCCTACACTCACCTCCTCCCCTCCCCGATCACCCACCGCTAACTCCTCACCCCTACACTCACCCCCCCCTCCCCAGCCACCACCGCTAACTCCTCACCCTTTCACTCACCTCCCCCCCTCCCCGATCACCCACCGCTAAACTCCTCACCCCTACACTCACCCCCCCCTCCCTGATCACCCACCGCTAAACTCCTCACCCCTACACTCACCCCGTCGCCCTCTCCTCCTCCCCAGCCACCACCGCTAACTCCTCACCCTTCCACTCACCCCCACCCCCCTCCCCGATCACCCACCGCTAAACTCCTCACCCCTACACTCACCCCCCCACCCCCTCCCCGATCACCCACCGCTAACTCCTCACCCTTCCACTCACCCCCACCCCCCTCCCCGATCACCCACCGCTAACTCCTCACCCCTACACTCACCCCCCCTCCCCAGCCACCACCGCTAAACTCCTCACCCCTACACTCACCCCCCCCCCCCGCCTCCCCGATCACCCACCGCTAACTCCTCACCCTTCCACTCACCCCACCACCCCCCTCCCCAATCACCCACCGCTAAACTCCTCACCCCTACACTCACCCCGTCGCCCTCTCCCCCTCCCCGATCACCCACCGCTAACTCCTCACCCTTCCACTCACCCCCACCCCCCTCCCCGATCACCCACCGCTAACTCCTCACCCCTACCCTCACCCCCCCTCCCCAGCCACCACCGCTAAACTCCTCACCCCTACACTCACCCCCCCCCCCCGCCTCCCCGATCACCCACCGCTAACTCCTCACCCTTCCACTCACCCCCCCACCCCCCTCCCCAATCACCCACCGCTAAACTCCTCACCCCTACACTCACCCCGTCGCCCTCTCCCCCTCCCCGATCACCCACCGCTAACTCCTCACCCTTCCACTCACCCCCCCACACCCTCCCCGATCACCCACCGCTAACTCCTCACCCTTCCACTCACCCCCCCCCACCCCCCCCCCCCACCGTCACCTCTCTCGGCCGAGTGCACCAGTGTGGCGTTGCTGAAGGGCCCCTCGCCGGCGCCGTTGAAGGCCCGGATGCGCACGAGGAAGGCCTCGAAGGGCCGCGCCGTCGCTGCGGGGCGGTGGTGCGAGTAGCGCGACGCGTTCCAAGCGGGCACCGTCACGTGACGCCAGAGGCTCGCGGTGGCGTTCTCACGGAACGCCAGAACGTAGCCCAGGTTGGGGCCAAAGTGCAGGTGGCGCTCCACGGGCTGTGGGTGGGGGGCGGGTGGTGGGGGGGGGGGTTAGTGGGGTAGGGGGTTAGTGGGGTAGGGGGTTAGTGGGGTAGGGGGTTAGTGGGGTCGGTAGTAGGGTAGGGGGTTTGAAGGGTAGGGGGTTAGTGGGGTAGGGGGTTAGTAGGGTAAGGGGGTTAGTAGGGTAGGGGGTTAGTAGGGTAGGGGGTTAGTAGGGTAGGAGGTTAGTGGGGTAGGGGGTTAGTAGGGTAGGGGGTTAGTAGGGTAGGGGGTTAGTAGGGTAGGGGGTTAGTAGGGTAGGGGGTTAGTAGGGTAGGGGGTTAGTAGGGTAGTTAGTAGAGTAGGGGGTTAGTAGGGTAGGAGGTTAGTAGGGTAAGGGGTTAGTAGGGTAGGGGGTTAGTAGGGTAGGGGGTTAGTAGGGTAGGGGGTTAGTAGGGTAGGGGGTTAGTAGGGTAGGGGGTTAGTAGGGTAGGAGGTTAGTAGGGTAGGGGTTAGTAGGGTAGGGGGTTAGTAGGGTAGGGGGTTAGTGGGGTAGGGGGTTAGTAGGGTAGGGGGTTAGTAGGGTAGGGGGTTAGTAGGGTAGGGGGTTAGTGGGGTAGGGGGTTAGTAGGGTAGGGGGTTAGTAGGGTAGGGGGTTAGTAGGGTAGGGGGTTAGTAGGGTAGGGGGTTAGTAGGGTAGTTAGTAGAGTAGGGGGTTAGTAGGGTAGGAGGTTAGTAGGGTAAGGGGTTAGTAGGGTAGGGGGTTAGTAGGGTAGGGGGTTAGTAGGGTAGGGGGTTAGTAGGGTAGGGGGTTAGTAGGGTAGGGGGTTAGTAGGGTAGGGGGTTAGTAGGGTAGGGGGTTAGTAGGGTAGTTAGTAGAGTAGGGGGTTAGTAGGGTAGGAGGTTAGTAGGGTAAGGGGGTTAGTAGGGTAGGGGGTTAGTAGGGTAGGGGGTTAGTAGGGTAGGGGGTTAGTAGGGTAGGGGGTTAGTGGGGTAGGGGGTTAGTAGGGTAGGGGGTTAGTAGGGTAGGGGGTTAGTGGGGGAGGGGGGTTAGTAGGGTAGGGGGGTTGAAGGGTAGGGGGTTAGTAGGGTAGGGGGTTAGTAGGGTAGGGGGTTAGTAGGGTAGGGGGTTAGTAGGGTAGGGGGTTAGTAGGGTAGGGGGGTAGTAGGGTAGTTAGTAGAGTAGGGGGTTAGTAGGGTAGGGGGTTAGTAGGGTAAGGGGTTAGTAGGGTAGGGGGTTAGTAGGGTAGGGGGTTAGTAGGGTAGGGGGTTAGTAGGGTAGGGGGGTTAGTGGGGTAGGGGGTTAGTAGGGTAGGGGGTTAGTAGGGTAGGGGGTTAGTGGGGTAGGGGGTTAGTAGGGTAGGGGGTTTGAAGGGTAGGGGGTTAGTAGGGTAGGGGGTTAGTAGGGGTAGAGGGTTAGTAGGGTAGGGGTTAGTAGGGTAGGGGGTTAGTAGGGTAGGGGGTTAGTAGGGTAGGGGGTTAGTAGGGTAGGGGTTAGTAGGGTAGGGGGTTAGTAGGGTAGTAGTAGAGTAGGGGGTTAGTAGGGTAGGAGGTTAGTAGGGTAGGGGGTTAGTAGGGTAGGGGTTAGTAGGGTAGGGGGTTAGTAGGGTAGGGGTTAGTAGGGTAGGGGGTTAGTAGGGTAGGGGTTAGTAGGGTAGGGGGTTAGTAGGGTAGGGGGTTAGTAGGGTAGGGGGTTAGTAGGGTAGGGGGTTAGTAGGGTAGGGGGTTAGTAGGGGTAGGGGGTTAGTAGGGTAGGGGGTTAGTAGGGTAGGGGTTAGTAGGGGTAGGGGGTTAGTAGGGTAGGGGGTTAGTAGGGTAGGGGGTTAGTAGGGTAGGGGGTTAGTAGGGTAGGGGGTTAGTAGGGTAGGGGGTTAGTAGGGTAGGAGGGTTAGTAGGGGTAGGGGGTTAGTAGGGTAGGGGTTAGTAGGGTAGGGGGTTAGTAGGGTAGGGGGTTAGTAGGGTAGGGGGTTAGTAGGGTAGGGGGTTAGTAGGGTAGTTAGTAGAGTAGGGGGTTAGTAGGGTAGGAGGTTAGTAGGGTAAGGGGTTAGTAGGGTAGGGGGTTAGTAGGGTAGGGGGTTAGTAGGGTAGGGGGTTAGTAGGGTAGGGGGTTAGTAGGGTAGGGGGTTAGTGGGGTAGGGGGTTAGTAGGGTAGGGGTTAGTAGGGGTAGGGGGTTAGTAGGGTAGGGGGTTAGTAGGGTAGGGGGTTAGTAGGGTAGGGGGTTAGTAGGGTAGGGGGTTAGTAGGGTAGGGGGTTAGTAGGGTAGGGGTTAGTAGGGTAGGGGGTTAGTAGGGTAGGGGTTAGTAGGGTAGGGGTTAGTAGGGTAGGGGGTTAGTAGGGTAGTTAGTAGAGTAGGGGGTTAGTAGGGTAGGAGGTTAGTAGGGTAGGGGTTAGTAGGGTAGGGGTTAGTAGGGTAGGGGGTTAGTAGGGTAGGGGGTTAGTAGGGTAGGGGGTTAGTAGGGTAGGGGGTTAGTAGGGTAGGGGTTAGTAGGGTAGGGGGTTAGTAGGGTAGTTAGTAGAGTAGGGGGTTAGTAGGGTAGGAGGTTAGTAGGGTAAGGGGTTAGTAGGGTAGGGGGTTAGTAGGGTAGGGGGTTAGTAGGGTAGGGGGTTAGTAGGGTAGGGGGTTAGTGGGGTAGGGGGTTAGTAGGGTAGGGGTTAGTAGGGTAGGGGGTTAGTGGGGTAGGGGGTTAGTAGGGTAGGGGGTTTGAAGGGTAGGGGTTAGTAGGGTAGGGGGTTAGTAGGGTAGGGGGTTAGTAGGGTAGGGGGTTAGTAGGGTAGGGGGTTAGTAGGGTAGGGGGTTAGTAGGGTAGTTAGTAGAGTAGGGGGTAGTAGGGTAGGAGGTTAGTAGGGTAAGGGGGTTAGTAGGGTAGGGGGTTAGTAGGGTAGGGGGTTAGTAGGGTAGGGGTAGTGGGGTAGGGGGTTAGTAGGGTAGGGGGTTAGTAGGGTAGGGGGTTAGTGGGTAGGGGGTTAGTAGGGTAGGGGGTTTGAAGGGTAGGGGGTTAGTAGGGTAGGGGGTTAGTAGGGTAGAGGGTTAGTAGGGTAGGGGGTTAGTAGGGTAGGGGGTTAGTAGGGTAGGGGGTTAGTAGGGTAGGGGGTTAGTAGGGTAGTTAGTAGGGTAGGGGGTTAGTAGAGTAGTTAGTAGAGTAGGGGGTTAGTAGGGTAGGAGGTTAGTAGGGTAGGGGGTTAGTAGGGTAGTTAGTAGGGTAAGGGGTTAGTAGGGTAGGAGGTTAGTAGGGTAGGGGGTTAGTAGGGTAGGGGTTAGTAGGGTAGGGGGTTAGTGGGGTAGGGGTTAGTAGGGTAGGGGGTTAGTAGGGTAGGGGGTTAGTAGGTAGGGTTAGTGGGGTAGGGGGTTAGTAGGGTAGGGGGTTAGTAGGGTAGGGGGTTAGTGGGGTAGGGGGTTTAGGGTAGGGGGTTAGTAGGGTGGGGTTGTAGGTAGGGTTAGTAGGGTAGGGGGTTAGTAGGGTGGGGTTAGTAGGGTAGGGGTTAGGGGGTAGTGGGTTAGTGGGTTAGTGGGGTGGGGTTAGTAGGTAGGGGGATAGTAGGGTAGGGGGTTAGTAGGGTGGGGTTAGTGGGGTGGGGTTAGTAGGGTAGGGGTGTAGGGTGGGGTTAGTAGGGTGGGGTTAGTGGGTAGGGGTTCGTAGGGTAGGGGGTTAGTGGGTAGGGGTAGGGGGGTTAGGTAGGGGTAGAGGGGGGGTTTAGGTAGGGTTAGTAGGGTAGTGTGGTAGGGGGTTGGTAGGGTAGTAGGTAGTAGGGTGGGGGTTAGTAGGGTAGGGATAGTAGGTGGGGTTAGTAGGGTAGGGGGTTAGTGGGGTAGGGGGTTAGTAGGTAAGGTGGGTTAGTAGGTATGGTTGTTAGTAGGGTAGGGGGTTAGTAGGGTAGGGGGTTCGCAGGTTAGGGGGTTAGTAGGGTTAGTAGGGGAGGAGGTTACTAGGGGAGGTTAGTAGGGGAGGAGGTTACTAGGGGAGAAGGTTAGTAGGGGAGGAGGTTAGTAGGGGAGGGGGTTAGTAGGGTAGGGGATTAATAGGGTAGGGGGTTAGTAGGGTAGGGGGTTAGCAGGTTAGGGGGTTAGTAGGGTTAGTAGGGTAGGGGATTAATAAGGGAGGAGGTTAGTAGGGTAGGGGGTTAGTAGGGTAGGGGGTTAGTAGGGTGGGGGTTATTAGGCGAGGGGGTGAGTAGGGTAGGGGGTTCGCAGGTTAGGGGGTTAGTAGGGTTAGTAGGGGAGGAGGTTACTAGGGGAGGTTAGTAGGGGAGGAGGTTACTAGGGGAGAAGGTTAGTAGGGGAGGAGGTTAGTAGGGGAGGGGGTTAGTAGGGTAGGGGATTAATAGGGTAGGGGGTTAGTAGGGTAGGGGATTAATACGTGTAGGGTAGGAAATTCATAGAAGGGGCAAGCACGTGGGTGCGTGATAATTGATGGCGGTCACCTTCCAGGTGATGACAAGTTCCGGATGACTTCCTCCTCCCCCAGACAGCCCCTCAGGAATGACCACGGGAGCTGGAGAGAGACGGCGGGGGGGAGGTCGTCAGCGCCTCGGTCGGCTGCGATTTGTTTCACAGCGCGATGTTCATCGCCGCAAGGCGGCGGGGGTTAAAGGAGCGGCGCGCTGCCACCGGCCACTCACGCCGCTGCTGCCGGGTGGACGGAATCCCTCCCAGCCAGAGCCGGTGATGTTTGGCCTGGTCTCCCGCGCTGGCAAGTACGTCTTGGAAGAGGGTGGGAGTTACACCCACGGCCGCTTTACCCCACCACCACCACACGTGGCCCTCGCCGAACATCGGCTAAACCGTGGTGAACCCACGAGAAGATGGAGTCGAACCGCTGCACTCTGGATGACGAGTCCAGCGCGCTTCTGACCGTTACTTCATTGCGGCCAAATCTTAACCCTTTTCCATTCCGATGACGTGCATGTGCACGTGGCTTACCAGTGGCTTCTTAATATTGTAAGGAAGAGCGTCCCAGACAGCCGCAGAGGCAGCGCATCTGGAAGTGCCCTGGCCATTGCAAGTGATAGCTCAACGAAGGGGCTTTATACCATCACGTGGGCTTTACACCATCACGTGGGCTTTACACCATCACGTGGACATTCAAAGTAGCAGCCAAATACTCAAAACAATCTCGCCTCCGAACAAGAGCCAACAGCTCAGTGTGGTTTTAAAACATTTGTATTAAACCCTAGTTCACAAAAAAAACTAAAATTGTGTAACAATAACCTCTGTTAAATTTTGATTTAAAGCTTTCGTGACTGCATTAATTCATTTCTTAGTTCTTTCGGTAAAGTCACGTTGAAGGGAAACAATAAAATAACAAAATATATATAAAACAATAAAAATTCTCACGACGTTTCGACCATAACACAAACGGTTGTCAGTGATGATGACGACCGTTTGTGTTATGGTCGAAACGTCGTGAGAATTTTTATTGTTTTATATATATTTTATTATTTTATTGTTTCCCTTCAACGTGACTTTACCGAAAGAACTAAGAATATAATAATCTCTGTGTGTGTACGTTTGCAGATGGGGAGCGGTTGTGTAGCGGTTAACGCGCTGTACTGCAAATCCCGGCGAGCCTAGTTCAATTCCAACTCACGGGCAGCACCAACACTGGTGACGATTATCTAAAACAGTCCTGGGCCTCCCCTAGGTCGACTCAACCTCAAATGAGTACCTGATGCGGTGCGTAAACATCGCTGCTCGGGAGACAAAGGCGGCCGGGCGCGGTGCTGGCCACCCACCCCCTCGTGTGCCGTGCCGGCCTTCACAGGTGCTACATGCTAACAGCACTTGTCCCAACAGTCTGTCAAGTCTATAGGGGGATCTTTGTCTTTGTGTGTGTGTGTGCTATGTACCTATCAATCATCACCCCGGATAACCCTTGAAAACGAGACATTCCGTCTCAAGGAACTGTTCTAAAGAAATTTTCCATCGCAAGGGACTAGTGTAGGTGGTTAGTAGGGTAGGGGGTTAGTAGGGTAGGGGGTTAGTAGGGTAGGGGGTTAGTAGGGTAGGGGTTGTTTCGTCTCAGAAAGTGTCCTATCTCAAGAGACTCTTCAAATGAGATGTTCTGTCTCAAGGGACTGTCCAATCCGAGACGTTCCGTCTCAAGTAAGTGTTCCGTCGCAAGGAACGGTCCAATCCGAGACGTTCCGTCTCAAGTAAGTGTTCCGTCTGAAGGAACTGTCCAATCCGAGAGGTTCCGTCTCAAATAAGTGTTCTGTCTCAAGGGACTGTCCAATCCGAGACGTTCCGTCTCAAGTAAGTGTTCCGTCTCAAGGGACTGTCCAATCTGAAACGTTCCGTCTCAAGTAAGTGTTCCGTCTCAAGGAACTGTCCAATCCGAGACGTTCCGTCTCAAGTAAGTGTTCCGTCTCAAGGAACTGTCCAATCTGAGACGTTCCGTCTCAAGTAAGTGTTCCGTCTCAAGGAACTGTCCAATCCGAGATGTTCCGTCTCAAGTAAGTGTTCTGTCTCAAGGAACTGTCCAATCCGAGACGTTCCGTCTCAAGTAAGTGTCCTATCACAAGAGACTGTCCAATCCGAGACGTTCCGTCTCAAGTAAGTGTTCTGTCTCAAGGAACTGTCCAATCCGAGACGTTCCGTCTCAAGTAAGTGTTCTGTCTCAAGGGACTGTCCAATCCGAGACGTTCCGTCTCAAGTAAGTGTTCTGTCTCAAGGAATGGTCCAATCCGAGACGTTCCGTCTCAAGTAAGTGTTCCGTCTCAAGGGACTGTCCAATCCGAGACGTTCCGTCTCAAGACAAAGGCGTTCCGTCTCCAAGGGGACACTGCGAGCGTGGTGCCCTATGACGAGCGATGGACGCGATTGGGGGGGGCGGCAGCGGTGGTGAGAGGGGGGGGGAGCAACCGGTGGGCAGGGTGTGGAGGAAGCCCGAGGAGGCGCTGGGCGCGCCGTCCCCGTGGGCGTTGCTGGAGACCACGCGGAACTCCGCCTCCGTCCAAGGGGTCAGCCCCGTGACCCGGGCTCCGCGTCTGTCGGCCGCGACGATCGCCGGCTCTGAAAATGTACAACAACCCCCCCCCCCCCCCCAGTCATTTTGATTTAAAGCTTTCGTGACTGCAGGGATTCATATTCTTGGTTTTTTCGGTGAAGTCACCACCACGTAGAAGGGAAAACAATGAAATAATAAAAAATATAAAAACAATAAAATAATAAAAAATATAAAACGATAAAATTATCACGACGTTTCGACTGCGACACAAGCAATCGTCATCAGGTGTGAAAACCACAACAAGAACATTTGAACCCCCCCACCATCCCCGCCGGCGCTCATTACCATTACCAGGCTCGTGACGATCGTTAATCATGAGGCACGTGATCATGGACTCGACGTGTTACCACTACCAGGCACGCGACCATTACCGGGCTCGTGACGATACGCGAGGAGGTCGTGGGATCCGAGAGTGACCGTCTCGCCGCGCCTCCCTTACCCGTCGTGGCGGTCGTCCATCGGTCACAGTGTGAGCAGCGGCCCTCCACCCTGTGGGCCCTCGCGGGGCTGTAGTTGTCAAAGCCGGGGACCCACGACAGGGAGACCGAGGTGGTGGTCACGTCCGTCGCCACCACGGAGTGCGGGGGGTCCGGAGGGCCTGATGAGCCACGGGGGGAGGGGGGGGATCTCTCACGTTCGACGTTCGGCGCGCGTGTACGCGCGGATCGGTGCGCCTGATCTTGGACACTCGCATCCACACCTCCTATTAGCGTGGTTGGCTATGTACGGTGTGAACGAAGTTCAACATATATACATACTGCCCATAGACTGACACTACCCAGAGATCATGGGAACTCCCGTGCCAGTATCAAAATATAAGAATAGGTTTTTACCCTTTCTGGCAATAAAACAGTTGTGTTAAGATGTTCAAACACCATACTGAAACATTTCGCAAGGAATGGTGTCTGCATTAACCACATATACTTGTGGTGAACATGCAAACAAAAAACTTGCTCTGATAGTATATGCATTGTCTTTGAAACTGATTGGTCCACACCAGAGACAGCTTTCTTTAGAGCCTATTCTCAAATAGTGTTAGTCCAGAGGACGCCAAAAGGCGAACAGCACTATCAGGACATTGAGAACAGTTGTGTTAAGATGTTAAAACACCAAACTGAAACCTTTATTGCCAGATAGTGTTAAACCTATTCTTATATTGTGATACTGGCAAGGGAGGTCCCATGATCCAGCTGCTCACCCCAAGCTCTCAATGTCCCGATAGTGGCATTGTCTTTGTGCTGTTCGCCTGTTGGCGTCCTCGGGACTGTTTGAGGCGGCGAGCCCGTGGGTGGCCCTCTCTGGCCTGTGGGTGGCCCTCTCTGGCCTGTGCGTGGTCCTCTCTGGCCTGTGGGTGGTCCTCTCTGGCCTGTGGGTGGCCCTCTCTGGCCTGTGGGTGGCCCTCTCTGGCCTGTGATTGGCTCTCTCTGGACTGTGAGTGGCCCTCTCTGGACTGTGAGTGGCCCTCTCTGGCCTGTGGGTGGCCCTCTCTGGGGAGATGGTGAGCATGTAGGTGGCCCTCTCTGGCCTGAGTGGCCCTCTCTGGCCTGTGAGTCACCCTCTTTGACCTGTGGGTGGCCCTCTCTGGCCTGTGATTGGCCCTCTCTGGCCTGTGAGTGGCCCTCTCTGGCCTGTGGGTGGCCCTCTCTGGCCTGTGATTGGCCCTCTCTGGCCTGTGGGTGGCCCTCTCTGGCCTGTTGGTGGCCCTCTCTGGCCTGTGAGTGGCCCTCTCTGGCCTGTGGGTGGCCCTCTCTGGCCTGTGATTGGCCCTCTCCGGCCTGTGGGTGGCCCTCTCTGGCCTGTGGGTGGCCCTCTCTGGCCTGTGAGTGGCCCTCTCTGGCCTGTGGGTGGCCCTCTCTGGCCTGTGGGCGTCCGGGGTGACGGTGAGCGTCTTGCCGGTGACGTTGAGCCACGTGGAGGCCGTGGCACTGTCCACGTCGGTGTGCGCCGTGCAGGAGTACGCTCCCGAGTCGGCGGGGCTCACCGACTTGAGCACCAGATCGGACGCGGAGCTCCCCTGTCGCACGTCGCACAAAGACAAAGATCCCCCGTGTAGCCTCTGACGGAGCGTTGGGGACGAGCGCTGTTAGCAAGCAGCAGCAGCAGCGCCAGGAAGGGCAGCACGGCACACGAGAGGGCCGGTGGCCAGCACCACCACGCCTGGCTGCCTTCGTCTCCTCGGGGCTCATTCTACTACTACTACTACTGCTGCTGCCCACTACTGCTGCCCGCTGCTGCTGCCCACTGCTTATACTCACTGCTGCTGCACACTGCTGCTGCACCCTACTGCTGCACACTGCTTATACACACTGCTGCTGCCAGCTGCTGCTGCCCGCTGCTGCTGCCCACTGCTGCTGCCCGCTGCTGCTGCACACTGCTGCTGCACCCTACTGCTGCCCACTGCTTATACTCACTGCTGCTGCCCGCTTCCCCCTGCTGCCCGCTGCTGCTGCCCGCTGCCCACTGCCGCTGCTCACTGCTTATGCTCACTGTTGCCCACCGCTGCTGCCCACCGCTGCTTCCCCTGCTGCCGCTGCCCACTGATGATGCCCACTGCTGCTGCCCACCACTGCTTCCCCTGCTGCTGCTTCCCCTGCTGCTGCTTCCCCTGCTGCTGCTGCCCACTGATGATGCTCACTGCTGCCGCTGCCCACTGCTGTTGCCCACCGCTGCTGCCCACCGCTGCTTCCCCTGCTGCTGCTGCTGCTGCCCACTGATGATGCTCACTGCTGCCGCTGCCCACTGCCACTTCCTCCTGCAGCTCGCCCACCGCTGCCGCCCACCGCTGCTGCCCACCGCTACCCCTCCCGCCGCCCACAGCTACATCCCACGGCTCACCATGCCCGCGTGCGTGAACTGCTCCCTCCTGCCGCTGCCCCCGAGGGCGAGGTGGTGGCCACCGCGGCTCCACAGGAAGGCGACGCGGAGCGAGGGGTCGTGAGATGCGCGGCACGACAACACCGCCCGGTGGCCGAACGCCACCAGCCCCCCGCTCGGGGCAGCCGTGATGCGGGTCGCCTCTGCAATGGTTTTTATTCTCATATTATCATCAATTATATTTATTTTATATTATTACCAATTATATTTATTTTTTATATTATCACCAATGATATTTATTTTATATCATCAATTATATTTATTTTATATCATCGTCACAACACTTGCCCCTAACAGCCCGTTAAAGGATTTATTTGGGGGGTCTTTGCTGCTGCTGTTGCTTGGCAACACAACACTTGCCCCTAACAGCCCGTTCAAGGATTGTATTTGGGGGGTCTTTGCTGCTGCTGTTGCTTGGCAACACAACACTTGCCCCTAACAGCCTGTTAAAGGATTTGCTTGGGGGGTCTTTGCCCCCGTGCAGTCGCGCACCCTTCACGGTGAGTTTCCCTGCGCTCTGTGCCTGTCCCAGCACGTTGTGCGCTGTGCAGGAGTAGCTGCCCGCGTCTCCGCTCGCCACGGACGCGAACATCAGGCTCCCATCTTCGAGCACATGGAGCCTGCGTACACCACAAAGGCAAAAGATACCCCCATAGATACCCCCACCCCCCCCGTCCGTGTAGCCTTAGCAGACTGCTGGGGCGAGTGCTGTTCGCGAGCAGCAGGCACACGCGCGGGGTTGGGTGGCCAGCACCACGCCCGGCCGCCTTTGTCTCCCAACAGGGGCGATGTTTACACATTGCACACCGGGTCCACATTAATAATTGGGTTTTTGGGGGCTTTTTTCGGGGGGTTTCTTTTAGGGGTTTTTTTTAGGGGGGGGGTCTGTATTTAGTATTTTTTATGGCTTTAGCTTGCTTATAATTCGCACTACGAGAGTGTGGTTGTTGTTGTTTGTCGTTGGAAATGTCTGACCCCGTGGCCCATAAATCGACATCTGCGGTAGGGGAGGGGCGGCGGAGGGGGGGGGGGGGGTTGTAAAGAGCTTCATAGCTCATCGGATTTCCTCCGGCATGAACACAGATTGCGATTCCTGACGCGCGGCACCGGCGTACTCCTCGTTTGAGGCCGAGCCGGTCTAGGGGTATGCCCCGCGGGCACGTGTGTTGCTCGCCACACACGTGCACGCGGGTCCACCTGGGGGAGGCGCTGGGGCCGACGGTGCCGCTCGGGCCGCTCCAGGTGACGCGGGGTGCAGGCCAGGCCCTGGGGCGGCACGGGATGACGGTGCGGCCTCCCCTGACGGCCACAGTCTCCGCCGGCAGCTCATGGCCAACGAAGTCCGGCACGGAGCCTGCGGAGAGAACATCCGGGAGATGACCTCGCGCATGAACTAACTTTTGATGAAATTCTTACCAGGGCAGGGCGCCACTAATGAGCTCGATAAAGTATTTCGCAACGTAAGAAGCGGCGGGCCCGGCCACCGTGGCTTGCCATCGTTGTCGTCGCGTGCGCATTCCTAGGAGCAGCCGAACAACTTTAATCGCGCGCCGTTGATTCTAAAAGTGCAGGGGAAAAAATCGTAGCACCCGGAGAAGAGTCCACGCGACCACCACGGGGAGTAGAGGCAGAGAGAGAGACACGACTTCCTGTACACCGGGAGAGGGAGTTAACATCTCCTAGCCACCGTGATGATGAGAGAGAGAGACATCGCAAACTCCAAATATACAGCAGCAGGCGTCATCAGGGCTGGGATCGAACCCACGACCTCCTGTACCCCAGGCGAGGTAGTTAACATCTCCTAGCCACCGTGATGATGATGAGAAAGAGAGAGACGCAAACTCCAAATATACAGCAGCAGCAGGCGTCAGGGTCGGGATTGAACCCACGACCTCCTGTGTACCAGGCGAGGTAGTTAACATCTCATAGCCACCGTGGCGTGGACCCCACAGAGAGACGATCTGGAGATGACGCAGATGGCGGTGGTGGGGGAGGCTGGGAGGTGGGGACGAGGAGGGGGGCTGGGGGGACGGGGACTGGGGGGGGGGGGGAGGAACTAGGTGGGGGCGGGGACTAGGCGGGGGCGGGGACTAGGGGGGGCGGGGACTAGGTAAGGGGCGGGGACTAGGGGGGGCGGGGACTAGGTAAGGGGCGGGGACTAGGGGGGGCGGGCTGTGGGGCGGGGACTAGGGGCGGGGAGGTTTGGGGGGGAGACTAGGTGGGGGCGGGGACTAGGTGTGGGCGGGGACTAGATGGGGGCGGGGCGGGGACTTGCGGGGGCAGCCTGGGGGGCGGGGCCTAGGGGCGGGGTCACCTGAGACGCGGAGCCGTGCGGCCGAGGTGACGCTGCCGAAGCTGTTGGAGGCCACGCACTGGTACATGGCGGCGTCGGACAGCAGCAGCGGGGACACGAGCAGGTCGCCGGACGCGTGCGACGCGACGCGCACGCGGCCCTGGGGGTGACAGCAGACGGTGCTTCGGCGTCATCGTCATCATCAGCAGCAGCATCATCAGTAGTAGCAGCATCATCAGCAGCAGCATCAGCAGTAGCAGCATCAGCAGCATCACCATCAGCAGCATGAGCAGCATCATCAGCAGCAGCATCATCAGCAGCATCATCAGCAGCATCACCATCAGCAGTAGCAGCATCAGCATCATCAGCAGCAGCAGCATCATCAGCAGCATCACCATCAGCAGTAGCAGCATCATCAACAGCACCATCAGCAGCATTATCAGTAGCGGTTTCACCGGTTGGACACGTGCAGTGGGGGCACGTGCAGGTTCCCTGACACGTGACATCCCTGGGGGACTGTGACGGGGAATGCATCATCATCTACATCATCTACATCATCATCTACATCATCATCTACATCATCATCATCATCTACATCGTCATCTACATCGTCATCTACATCATCATCTACATCGTCATCTACATCATCATCTACATCATCATCTACATCTACATCGTCATCTACATCATCATCTACATCTACATCATCATCTACATCATCATCTACATCATCATCTACATCATCATCATCTACATCGTCATCTACATCATCATCTACATCATCTACATCATCATCTACATCATCATCTACATCATCATCATCTACATCGTCATCGACATCATCATCGACATCATCTACATCGTCATCTACATCATCTACATCGTCATCTACATCATCATCTACATCATCTACATCATCATCTACATCGTCATCTACATCTACATCATCATCTACATCATCTACATCATCATCTACATCGTCATCTACATCATCATCTACATCATCATCCACATCATCATCTACATCATCTACATCGTCATCTACATCATCATCTACATCATCTACATCATCATCTACATCGTCATCTACATCATCTACATCGTCATCTACATCATCTACATCATCATCTACATCATCATCTACATCGTCATCATCTACATCATCATCTACATCATCATCTACATCATCTACATTGTCATCTACATCATCATCTACATCGTCATCTACATCATCTACATCATCATCTACATCATCATCCACATCATCATCTACATCATCATCTACATCATCTACATCATCATCTACATCATCATCTACATCATCATCTACATCATCATCTACATCGTCATCTACATCATCATCTACATCATCATCTACATCATCATCTACATCATCATCTACATCGTCATCTACATCATCTACATCATCTACATCATCATCTACATCATCTACATCATCATCTACATCGTCATCTACATCGTCATCTACATTGTCATCTACATCATCTACATCATCATCTACATCATCATCTACATCATCATCTACATCATCATCTACATCGTCATCTACATCGTCATCTACATTGTCATCTACATCATCCACATCATCATCTACATCATCATCTACATCATCTACATCATCATCTACATCATCTACATCATCATCTACATCATCTACATCATCATCTACATCATCATCATCATCTACATCGTCATCTACATCATCATCTACATCATCTACATCATCATCTACATCATCATCTACATCATCTACATCATCATCTACATCATCATCATCTACATCATCATCATCATCATCTACATCATCATCTACATCGTCATCTACATCATCATCTACATCATCATCTACATCATCATCATCTACATCATCATCTACATCATCATCATCTACATCACCTACATCATCATCATCTACATCATCTACATCATCATCTACATCATCATCTACATCGTCATCTACATCATCATCTACATCATCATCTACATCATCATCATCTACATCATCATCTACATCATCATCATCTACATCGTCACCTACATCATCATCTACATCGTCATCTACATCTACATCATCATCTACATCATCATCTACATCATCATCATCTACATCGTCATCTACATCGTCTACATCATCATCTACATCATCATCTACATCATCATCATCATCTACATCATCTACATCATCATCTACATCATCTACATCATCATCTACATCATCATCTACATCATAATTTACATCATCATCTACATCATCATCTACATCATCATCTACATCATCATTTACATCATCATCTCCATCATCATCTACAACATCATCGTCATCTACATCATCATCTACATCATCTACATCATCATCTACATCGTCATCTACATCTACATCATCATCTACATCATCATCTACATCGTCATCTACATCATCATCTACATCATCATCTACATCATCATCCACATCATCATCTACATCATCTACATCGTCATCTACATCATCATCTACATCATCTACATCATCATCTACATCTACATCGTCATCTACATCATCTACATCGTCATCTACATCATCTACATCATCATCTACATCATCATCTACATCGTCATCATCTACATCATCATCTACATCATCATCTACATCATCTACATTGTCATCTACATCATCATCTACATCGTCATCTACATCATCTACATCATCATCTACATCATCATCTACATCATCATCCACATCATCATCTACATCATCATCCACATCATCATCTACATCATCATCTACATCATCTACATCGTCATCTACATCATCATCTACATCGTCATCTACATCATCATCTACATCATCATCTACATCATCTACATCATCATCTACATCGTCATCTACATCATCATCTACATCATCATCTACATCATCATCATCTACATCATCATCTACATCATCATCATCTACATCGTCACCTACATCATCATCTACATCTACATCATCATCTACATCATCATCTACATCATCATCATCTACATCGTCATCTACATCGTCTACATCATCATCTACATCATCATCTACATCATCATCATCATCTACATCATCTACATCATCATCTACATCATCTACATCATCATCTACATCATCATCTACATCATCATTTACATCATCATCTACATCATCATCTACATCATCATCTACATCATCATTTACATCATCATCTACATCATCATCTACATCATCATCATCATCTACATCATCATCTTCATCATCATCATCGTCAGCTTGGGGTTCCCCGTTCGGCTCGGAGCGCTGGGTGCTGAAGAAGCGACGTTGGGGATGGAGGAGAGAGAAGAGGGGGGGGGGTGGAGGGGGGTGGAGGGGGGTGGAGGGGATAAGGAGCAGGGTGAGGAGGAGGGTGAGGAGGAGGAGGAGGAGGAGGGTGAGGAGGAGGGTGAGGAGGAGGGTGAGGAGGAGGGTGAGGAGGAGGGTGAGGAGGAGGGTGAGGAGGAGGGTGAGGAGGAGGGTGAGGAGGAGGGTGAGGAGGGGTATGAGTGCTAGGGGGGAGGGGGAGGAACGGGGCGGGGACAAGGAGGAGGGTTCGGGGCAGGGGAGGAAGGCGAGGGGGAGGGAGATGAGGAGGGAGATGAGGAGGGAGATGAGGAGGGAGATGAGGAGGGAGATGAGGAGGGAGATGAGGAGGGAGATGAGGAGGGAGATGAGGAGGGAGATGAGGAGGGAGATGAGGAGGGAGATGAGGAGGGAGATGAGGAGGGAGATGAGGAGGGAGATGAGGAGGGAGATGAGGAGGGAGATGAGGAGGGAGATGAGGAGGGAGATGAGGAGGGAGATGAGGAGGGAGATGAGGAGGGAGATGAGGAGGGAGATGAGGAGGGAGATGAGGAGGGAGATGAGGAGGGAGATGAGGAGGGAGATGAGGAGGGAGATGAGGAGGGAGATGAGGAGGGAGATGAGGAGGGAGATGAGGAGGGAGATGAGGAGGGAGGGAAAGAGGAGGGCTAGAGGGTGGAAGGGCTGGGGGAGAGCGGGTGGAGGCTGACTCACGTGCGCGCTGCTGCTGCTGGTGGTGGCGCTGCTGCTGGTGGTGGTGGTGGTGGCGAGGGGGGAGCCGTTCTTGAGCCAGGCGTAGGATGGAGCCGGGGAGCCGGAGGCGCGGCAGGGCCAGCGCAGCGCCTCGTGGACTCCGAGCTCGGCGTCGCGTAGGGGCAGCAGCCAGCGTGGGGCAGCTGCAGAGGGGCAGCAACAGGGCAGCTCCACACAGAACCCTCGTCCCATACAGAACCCTCGTCCCATACAGAAGCCTCGTCCCATACACAACCCTCGTCCCACACAGAACCCTCGTCCCATACAGAACCCTCGTCCCACACAGAACCCTCGTCCCATACAGAACCCATACAGAACCCTCGTCCCATACAGAACCCTCGTCCCATACAGAACCCTCGTCCCACACAGAACCCTCGTCCCACACAGAACCCTCGTCCCACACAGAACCCTCGTCCCATACAGAACCCTCGTCCCATACAGAACCCTCGTCCCATACACAACCCTCGTCCCACACAGAACCCTCGTCCCACACAGAACCCTCGTCCCATACAGAACCCTCGTCCCATACAGAACCCTCGTCCCATACACAACCCTCGTCCCACACAGAACCCTCGTCCCATACAGAACCCTCGTCCCATACAGAACCCTCGTCCCATACAGAACCCTCGTCCCATACAGAACCCTCGTCCCACACAGAACCCTCGTCTCATCCCATACAGAACCCTCGTCCCATACAGAACCCTCGTCTCATCCCATACAGAACCCTCGTCCCATACAGAACCCTCATCCCATACAGAATCCTTGTCCCATACAGAACTCTCATCTCGTCCCATACAGAACCCTCGTCCCATACAGAACCCTCATCCCATACAGAACCCTCGTCCCATACAGAACTCTCGTCTCATCCCATACGGAACCCTCGTCCCATACAGAACCCTCATCCCATACAGAACCCTCATCCCATACAGAACTCTCGTCTCGTCCCATACAGAACCCTCGTCCCATACAGAACCCTCGTCCCATACAGAACCCTCGTCTCATACCATACAGAACTCTCGTCCCATACAGAACTCTCGTCTCGTCCCACACAAAACCCTCATCCCATACAGAACCCTCATCCCATACAGAACCTCAGTCTCATCCCATACAGAACCCTCGTCCCATACCATACAGAACTCTCGTCTCATCCCATACAGAACCCTCATCCCATACAAAACCCTCGTCCCATACAGAACCCTCATCCCATACAGAACCCTCATCCCATACAGAACTCTCGTCTCATCCCATACAGAACTCTCGTCCCATCCCATACAGAACCCCAGTCTCATCCCATACAGAACCGTCGTCCCATCTCTCCTACCGGGTGTCACTTCTCAAGCGCGTGTCTCTCTCTCTCCTCTCCCCACGCTGCCTCTCAAGTCACTGGCCATGCCCCACGGAGCCGAAACGTCGGACGTGGCGCGGCAGGCACAGGGGCGCCGAGACAGTCGGTGCCTCGGCACCAGTCTGAGAGCTTCACGAGTTAGAACCCCCCACTACAACCCCCACTACAACCCCCCACTACAACCCCCCCACTACAACCCCCACTACAACCCCCCACTACAACCCCCCACTTCAACCCCCCCACTTCAACCCCCCCACTACAACCCCCCACTTCAACCCCCCACTTCAACCCCCCAATTCAACCCCCCACTTCAACCCCCCACTTCAACCCCCCTACTTCAACCCCCCACTTCAACCCCCCACTTGCTACCCCCCACTTCAACCCCCCACTTCAACCCCCCACTTCAACCCCCGACTTCAACCCCCCACTTACTACCCCCCACTTCAACCCCCCCACTTCAACCCCCCCAATACAACCCCCCACTTCAACCCCCCACTTCAACCCCCGACTTCAACCCCCCACTTCAACCCCCCACTTAAACCCCCCCTCTTGCTACCCCCAACTTCAACCCCCCACTTCAACCCCCCACTTCAACCCCCCACTTCAACCCCCCACTTACAACCCCCCACTTCATCCCCCCCACTACAACCCCCCATTTCAACACCCCCACTTCAACCCCCCCACTACAACCCCCCACTTCAACCCCCCACTTCAACCCCCGACTTCAACCCCCCACTTCAACCCCCCACTTCAACCCCCCACTTCAACCCCCCCACTTGCTACCCCCCACTTCAACCCCCCACTTCAACCCCCCACTTCAACCCCCCACTTCAACCCCCCCACTTACTACCCCCCACTTCAACCCCCAAATTCAACCCCCCACTTCAACCCCCCCAACTGCTACCCCCCACTTCAACCCCCCACTTACTACCCTCCACTTCAACCCCCCACTTCAACCCCCCACTTCAACCCCCCCACTTCAACCCCCCACTTCAACCCCCCCACTTCAACCCCCCACTTACTACCCCCCACTTCAACCCCCCACTTCAACCCCCCCACTTACTACCCCCCACTTGCTACCCCCCACTTCAACCCCCACTTCAACCCCCCACTTCAACCCTCCCACTTGCGACCCCCCACTTCAACCCCCCACTTCAACCCCCCACTTCAACCCCCCACTTACTACCCCCCACTTCAACCCCCCACTTCAACCCCCCCACTTCAACCTCCCACTTCAACCCCCCATTTACTACCCCCCACTTCAACCCCCCACTTCAACCCCCCACTTCAACCCCCCAATTCAACCCCCCACTTCAACCCCCCCACTTGCTACCCCCCACTTGCTACCCCCCACTTGCTACCCCCCACTTCAACCCCCACTTCAACCCCCCACTTCAACCCCGCCACTTACTACCCCCCACCTACTACCCCCCCCCACTTGCTACCCCCCACTTACTACCCCCCACTTACTACCCCCCCATTACTACCCACCACTTCAACCCCCCACTTCAACCCCCCACTTCAACCCCCACTTCAACCCCCCACTTCAACCCCCCACTTCAACCCCCCACTTCAACCCCCCACTTCAACCCCCCCACTTGCTACCCCCCACTTCAACCCCCCACTTCAACCCCCCAATTCAACCCCCTACTACAACCCCCCACTTCAACCCCCCACTTCAACCCCCACTTCAACCCCCCACTTCAACCCCCCACTTCAACCCCCCACTTCAACCCCCCACTTCAACCCCCCCACTTGCTACCCCCCACTTCAACCCCCCACTTCAACCCCCCACTACAAACCCCCACTTCAACCCCCCACTTCAACCCCCCCACTTACTACCCCCCACTTCAACCCCCCACTTCAAACCCCCACTTCAACCCCCCCCCCCCCACTTCAACCCCCCACTTGCTACCCCCCACTTCAACCCCCCACTTCAACCCCCCACTTAAACCCCCACTTCAACCCCCCCATTACTACCCCCCACTTCAACCCCCCCACTTACTACCCCCCACTTCAACCCCCCCCACTTCAACCCACCACTTCAACCCCCCACTTCAACCCACCACTTCAACCCCCCACTTCAACCCCCCCATTACTACCCCCCACTTCAACCCCCCCACTTACTACCCCCCACTTCAACCCCCCCCACTTCAACCCACCACTTCAACCCACCACTTCAACCCACCACTTCAACCCTCCACTTCAACCCCCCCACTTCAACCCTCCACTTCCACCCCCCACTTCCACCCCCCACTTACTACCCCCCACTTCAACCCCCCACTTCAACCCCCCACTTCAACCCCCCCACTTCACCCCCCCCCCCCACTTCAACCCCCCCACTTCAACCCCCCACTTCAACCCCCCCACTTCAACCCCCCACTTCAACCCCCCCCACTTCAACCCCCCCACTTACTACCCCCCACTTCAACCCCCCACTTAAACCCCCCACTTCAACCCCCCCACTTGCTACCCCCCCCACTTCAACCCCCCACTTCAACTCCCCCACTTGCTACCCCCCACTTACTACCCCCCACTTACTACCCCCCCAATTGCTACCCCCCACTTCAACCCCCCACTTCAACCCCCCACTTCAACCCCCCACTTCAACCCTCCACTTCAACCCACAACTTCAACCCCCCACTTCATCCCCCACTTCATCCCCCCACTTCAACCCCCCACTTCAACCCCCCACTTCAACCCCCCACTTCAACCCCCCCACTTCAACCCCCCACTTTAACCCCCCCACTTACTACCCCCCACTTCAACCCCCCAGTTCAACCCCCCCCACTTCAACCCCCCACTTCAACCCCCCCACTTCAACCCCCCACTTCAAGCCCCCCACTCACTACCCCCCACTTCAACCCCCCACTACAACCCCCACTTCAACCCCCCACTTCAACCCCCCACTTCAACCCCCCACTTCAACCCCCCACTTCAACCCCCCACTTCAACCCCCCACTTCAACCCCCCACTTCAACCCCCCACTTCAACCCCCCACTTCAACCCCCCACTTCAACCCCCCACTTCAACCCCCCACTTGAACCCCCCACTTGAACCCCCCACTTGAACCCCCCACTTGAACCCCCCACTTGAACCCCCCACTTGAACCCCCCACTTCAACCCCCCACTTCAACCCCCCACTTCAACCCCCCAATTCAACCCCCCACTTCAACCCCCCACTTCAACCCCCCACTTCAACCCCCCCCCACTTCAACCCCCCACTTACTACCCCCCCACTTCAACCCCCCACTTCAATCCCCCACTTCAACCCCCCACTTCAACCCCCCCACTTCAACCCCCCACTTCAACCCCCCACTTGCTACCCCCCACTTCAACCCCCCCCACTTGCTACCTCCCACTTCAACCTCCCATTTCAACCCCCCACTTACTACCCCCCACTTCAACCCCCCACTTACTACCCCTCACTTCAACCCCCCCACTTACTACCCCCCACTTAAACCCCCCACTTCAACCCCCCACTTACTACCTCCCACTTCAACCCCCCCATTTCAACCCCCCACTTGCTACCCCCCACTTCAACCCCCCCACTTACTACCCCCCACTTACTACCCCCCACTTCAACCCCCCACTTGAACCACCCACTTACTACCCCCCACTTCAACCCCCCACTTACTACCCCCCACTTCAACCCCCCACTTCAACCCCCCACTTCAACCCCCCACTCGCCAGCCCCACAATTTTCCCCTCCTCCGAGGAACCCTCCACTCTTGATGCAGTGCAACTCCCACACTCCATTAGCTTTTCATTAATTCACCAAATTTAGAGATGGAGTGAGTGAGAGAGATTTCTGCAAATCTCAGACTGTGCTCATTATTTAACCCCCTCCCTCCCTCCCTCCCTCCCTCCCTCCCTCCCTCCCTCCCTCCCTCCCTCCCTCCCTCCCTCCCTCCCTCCCTCCCTCCCTCCCTCCCTCCCTCCCTCCCTCCCTCCCTCCCTCCCTCCCTCCCTCCCTCCCTCCCTCCCTCCCTCCCTCCCCCAACGAACCAGGCGCAATTGCCCGTGGCGAAATGCTCGGACGATCGAGGGCTTTAATTAGTGGCAATTAAATCTGCGGCGTTACTTAACGAGCAGATGCGTGGCTCGAGCCGTATCGCGTTCTTACCGTTTAATGGATGGGTGGGGGGGGCAGGGGGGGGCACGGGGATGGGAGGCGGTGGGGTGCGCGGCTGGGCGGGGGTTGAAATGAAATTAATTTGCTCGCCGCTCGCTGAACGGACACGCGCGGATGGCTGGGCCGCAGAGTGCGACGGACGCATCGCTGAGAATTCGCAAATTGGAAAAGCGTCGCGCGATGGCCGTGGATTGGGCCTGTTACGTCGGGTTCACGATGGCCCTGGGGTGGCCTCTAGCCGGGTTCACGATGGTCCTGGGGTGGCCTCTAGCCGGGTTCACGATGGCCGTGGGTGTGGCCTCTAGCCGGGTTCACGATGGCCGTGGGTGTGGCCTCTAGCCGGGTTCACGATGGCCCTGAGGAGGCCTCTAGCCGGGTTCACGATGGGCCTGGGGTGGCCTCTAGTCGGGTTGACGATGGCCCTGGGGAGGCCTCTAGCCGGGTTCACGATGGCCCTGGGGTGGCCTCTAGCCGGGTTCACGATGGCCCTGGGGAGGCCTCTAGCCGGGTTCACGATGGCCCTGGGGAGGCCTCTAGCCGGGTTCACGATGGGCCTGGGGAGGCCTCTAGCCGGGTTCACGATGGCCCTGGGGAGGCCTCTAGCCAGGTTCACGATGGCCCTGGGGAGGCCTCTAGCCGGGTTCACGATGGCCCTGGGGCAGTGTTCTCCATTACAAGGCCAGCGGGCCACTTGCGGCTCCGGGTGCCCCATCATCACCATCACCACAATCACCACCATCACCACCATCACCACCACCATCACCACCATCATTACCACCATCACCACCATCACCACCACCATCACCATCACCAACACCATCACCACCACCACCATCACCATCACCACCATCACCACCACCATCACCACCATCACCACCATCACGACCACCACCATCATCACCACCACCATCACCACCATCACCACCACCATCACCACCACCATCACCACCACCATCACCACCACCATCACCACCACCACCATCACCACCATCACCACCATCATCACCACCACCATCACCACCATCACCACCATCACCACCATCATCACCACCATCACCACCATCACCACCATCGTCGTGGAACTGCTGTCAGAGCCCCAATGGTTTCAATGGTGTCTTGGCCCTCACAGTGGCGATGTCTTATCGGCGAAAGTTATTGAAAAACTCCGCTGTAGGGAGAAGGAGAAGGTGGAGGAGAAAGGGGTGGATAGGAAGGACGAGTTGAGGGGGGTGAGGAGGGGGATGACGGGTGGGGGGGTGATAGCGGGTGGGTGATGGTAGTGGAGATTGTGGTGGTGGCGGTGGTAGTGGTGGCGGTGGTGGTAGAGGCGGCGGTGGTGGTGGTGGTGGTAGTGGCGGTAGTGGTGGCGGTGGTGGTGGTGGTAGTGGCGGTAGTGGTGGTGGTGGCGGTGGTAGTGGTAGTGGCGGTAGTGGTGGCGGTAGTGGTGGCGGTAGTGGTGGCAGTAGTGGTGGTGGTGGCGGTAGTGGTGGTTGCGGTAGTAGTGGTGGTGGCGGTAGTGGTGTTGGTGGTGGCAGCAGTGGTGGTGGCGGTAGTGGTGGTGGTGGCGGTAGTGGTGGTTGCGGTAGTGGTGGTCGCGGTAGTAGTGGTGGTGGTGGTGGCGGTAGTGGTGTTGGTGGTGGCAGTAGTGGTGGTGGCGGTAGTGGTGGTGGTGGCGGTAGTGGTGGTTGTGGCAGTTGCGGTAGTAGTGGTGGTGGTGGTGGCGGTAGTGGTGGTGGCAGTAGTGGTGGTTGCAGTTGTGGCGGTCACGGTAGTAGTGGTGGTGGCGGTAGCGGTAGTGGTGGTTGCGGTAGTGGTCGCGGTAGTAGTGGTGGTGGCGGTAGCGGTAGTGGTGGTTGCGGTAACGGTAGTGGTGGTTGCGGTAGTGGTGGTGGTAGTAGTGGTGGTGGCGGTGGCGGTAGCGGTGGTGGTGGCGGTAGTGGTGGTGGCGGTAGCGGTAGTGGCGGTAACGGTAGTGGTGGTTGCGGTAGTGGTCGCGGTAGTAGTGGTGGTGGCGGTAGTGGTGGTTGCGGTAGCGGTAGTGGTGGTAGCGGTAGTGGTGGTTGCGGTAGCGGTAGTGGTGGTTGCGGTAGTGGTGGTTGCGGTAGTGGTGGTTGCGGTAGCGGTAGTGGTGGTAGCGGTAGTGGTGGTTGCGGTAGCGGTAGTGGTGGTTGCGGTAGCGGTAGTGGTGGTTGCGGTAGTGGTGGTGGTGGCGGTAGCCTGCGGTGGTGACGCACCGCGCACCGTTACGGTGCCGTTTGCCGCGTTGCCCCCTGCGGCGTTGCGTGCCGAGCACGTGTAGGTGCCTCCGTCCGACTCGCGCACCTCGCGGATCTCCAGCAGGGAGCCCGACTCGGACAGCCGCGCCGAGGGCGGCAGCTCTCCGCCGGCTCGGGACCACGACAGCCGCGGCACGGGGCTGGTCACGGTGGTGGAGCGGTGGGGAGCGGTGGTGCAGCAGTTAGCAAACCCGGCGACTCCTCGCCCCCCCCCGGGTGCGATTGGCCCGCTCACGATTATACGATGAACACGGTTGGCTACGTAGGGTGCGAAAGAAATTAAATATACATACTGCCCATAGACTCAACACTGCCCATAGACTCAACACTGCCCATAGACTCAACACTGCCCATAGACTCAACACTGCCCATAGACTCAACACTGCTCATAGACTCAACACTGCCCATAGTCTCAACACTGCCCAAAGACTCAACACTGCCCGTAGACTCATCACTGCCCATAGACTCAACACTACCCATAGACTCAACACTGCCCATAGACTCAACACTGCCCATAGACTCAACACTGCTCATAGACTCAACACTGCCCATAGTCTAACACTACCCATAGACTCAACACTGCCCAAAGACTCAACACTGCCCGTAGACTCATCACTGCCCATAGACTCAACACTACCCATAGACTCAACACTGCCCATAGACTCAACACTGCCCATAGACTCAACACTACATGTAGACTCAACACTGCCCGTAGACTCAACACTGCCTATAGACTCAACACTGCCCATAGACTCAACACTACCTATAGACTCAACACTGCCCATAGACTAACACTTCCCATAGACTCAACACTACCCATAGACTCAACACTACCCATAGACTCAACACTACCCATAGACTCAACACTGCCCATAGACTCAACACTGCCTATAGACTCAACACTACATGTAGACTCAACACTGCCCGTAGACTCAACACTGCCTATAGACTCAACACTGCCCATAGACTCAACACTACCTATAGACTCAACACTGCCCATAGACTAACACTTCCCATAGACTCAACACTACCCATAGACTCAACACTACCCATAGACTCAACACTACCCATAGACTCAACACTGCCCATAGACTCAACACTGCCTATAGACTCAACACTACCCATAGACTAACCCCTAGGTCGACTCGGCCTCAAATGAGCGCCTGATGCGGTGCGTAGTAAACCGCCACTTGGGAAGACAAAGGCGGCCGGGCGTGGTGCTGGCCACCCACCCCCTCGTGTGCCGTGCCGGCCTTCATAGGTGCTGCTACTCGCTAAGAGCACTTGCCCCAATGATCTGGTAAGGCTACACGGGGGATCTTTGTCTTTGGGTGGGTGGGGGGTGGAGTTCGCAGGGGTCAAGAGGTCACGCACGGTCAATAGAGTCACGTGGATAGCGAGAGGTGGCGATAGTAGATGTCACATTGGGGAGGATGATTCATTCAACAGTGTATTGACCATGGATCCTGATGATGACAGCGAATATGGTGATGATGGTGGTGGTGATGATGGTGGTGATGGTGGTGATGGTGGTGAAGGTGGTGGTGATGGTGTTGGTGATGGGGATAATGGTGGTGATGGTCGTGGTGATGGTGATGGTGGTGATGGTGTTTGGTGATGGTGGTGATGGTGTTGGTAATGGTGTTGATGATGGTGGTGGTGATGGTGGTGAAGGTGGTGGTGATGGTGTTAGTGATGGTGTTGGTGATGGTGGTAAAGGTGTTGGTGATGGTGTTGGTGATGGTGATGGTTATGGTGTTGGTGATGAAGGTGGTGGTGACGGCGTTGGTGTTGGTGATGGTGATGGTGTTGGTGATGGTGTTGGTGATGGTGTTGGTGATGGTGGTGATGGTGTTGGTGATGGTGGTGAAGGTGTTGGTGTTGGTGATGATGATGGTGTTGGTGATGGTGTTGGTGATGGTGTTGGTGATGGTGATGGTGTTGGTGATGGTGTTGGTGATGGTGTTGGTGATGAGGGTGGTGGTGACGGCGTTGGTGATGGTGTTGGTGATGGTGATGGTGTTGGTGATGGTGGTGATGGTGTTGGTGATGGTGGTGAAGGTGTTGGTGATGGTGTTGGTGATGGTGTTGGTGATGGTGATGGTTATGGTGTTGGTGATGGTGTTGGTGATGGTGTTGGTGATGGTGTTGGTGTTGGTGATGGTGATGGTGTTGGTGATGGTGTTGGGGATGGTGTTGGTGATGAGGGTGGTGGTGACGGCGTTGGTGATGGTGTTGGTGATGGTGTTGGTGATGGTGTTGGTGATGGTGGTGGTGATGGTGTTGGTGATGGTGTTGGTGATGGTGGTGAAGGTGTTGGTGATGGTGTTGGTGATGGTGATGGTTATGGTGTTGGTGATGGTGTTGGTGATGGTGTTGGTGATGGTGTTGGTGATGGTGTTGGTGTTGGTGATGAAGGTGGTGGTGACGGCGTTGGTGATGGTGGTGATGATGGTGTTGGTTATGGTGTTGGTGATGGTTATGGTGTTGGTGATGGTGTTGGTGATGGTGTTGGTGTTGGTGATGGTGTTGGTGTTGGTGATGGTGTTGGTGATGGTGTTGGTGGTGGTGTTGGTGATGGTGATGGTGTTGGTGGTGGTGATGGTGTTGGTGATGGTGTTGGTGATGGTGTCGGTGTTGGTGATGGTGTTGGTGATGGTATTGGTGTTTGGTGACGGTGTTGGTGATGGTGTTGGTGATGGTGATGGTGTTGGTGATGGTGTTGGTGATGGTGTTGGTGTTGGTGATGGTGTTGGTTGATGGTGTTGGTGATGGTGGTGGTGTTGGTGTTGGTGATGGTGTTGGTGATGGTGTTGGTGATGGTGTTGGTGATGGTGTTGGTGATGGTGTTGGTGTTGGTGATGGTGTTGGTGGTGGTGTTGGTGGTGGTGTTGGTGATGGTGTTGGTCGTGGTGATGGTGTTGGTGATGGTGTTGGTGATGGTGATGGTGTTGGTGATGGTGTTGGTGATGGTGTTGGTGTTGGTGATGGTGTTGGTGATGGTGTTGGTGTTGGTGATGGTGTTGGTGATGGTGATGGTGTTGGTGATTATGATGGTGTTGGTGATGGTGTTGGTGATGGTGTTGGTGGTGGTGTTGGTGATGATGTTGGTGATGGTGTTGGTGATGGTGTTGGTGTTGGTGATGGTGTTGGTGATGGTGTTGGTGATGGTGGTGGTGTTGGTGATGGTGTTGGTGATGGTGTTGGTGGTGGTGTTGGTGTTGGTGATGGTGTTGGTGATGGTGATGGTATTGGTGATGGTGATGGTATTGGTGTTGGTGATGGTGTTGGTGATGGTGTTGGTGATGGTGATGGTGTTGGTGATGGTGTTGGTGATGGTGATGGTGTTGGTGATGGTGTTGGTGATGGTGTTGGTGTTGGTAATGGTGTTGGTGATGGTGTTGGTGATGGTGATGGTGTTGGTGATGGTGTTTGTGTTGGTGATGGTGTTGGTGATGGTGTTGGTGGTGGTGATGGTGTTGGTGATGGTGTTCGTGATGATGTTGGTGATGTGTTGGTGGTGGTGTTGGTGATGGTGTTGGTGATGGGTTTGGTGATGGTGATGGTGTTGGTGATGGTGATGGTATTGGTGTTGGTGATGGTATTGGTGATGGTGTTGGTGAAGGTGTTTGGTGATGGTGTTGGTGATGGTGTTGGTGTTGGTGATGGTGTTGGTGATGGTGTTGGTGATGGTGTTGGTGATGGTGATGGTATTGGTGTTGGTGATGGTATTGGTGATGGTGTTGGTGAAGGTGTTTGGTGATGGTGTTGGTGATGGTGATGAAGGTGTTGGTGATGGTGTTGGTGATGGTGTTGGTGATGGTGTTGGTGATGGTGTTGGTGGTGGTGAAGGTGTTGGTGAAGGTGGTGGTGATGGTGTTGGTGATGGTGTTGGTGAAGGTGTTGGTGATGGTGGTGAAGGTGTTTGGTGATGGTGTTGGTGATGGTGGTGACGGTGTTGGTGATGGTGTTGGTGATGGTGTTGGTGATGGTGGTGTGGATTTCAGTGACTTACTTTCCAAGAGCAAAGCATTCGAGCTTGAGGTTGTGTCCCTGAACGGCGATGATCTTGGAAGGGAACGTGGCTTCAATCCGTGGTTCGTACGCCCCCATAACTCCTGAACAACCCAACAACAACAATAACAAAATCAACAACAATGACAACCTAAACAATAATAAGAAAAATAATAATAACAAGCATAGCAATAACAACGCCAACAAAAACAATACAAAAACGACCGATGATGGAAAAGAATAATAACAATGACAGCAAACGAACGCTAAAAACAAAAACGATAACAAAACGCACTAACAATGTCAACAACAACAATCCCAATAACAATAACAGCAGCAAATGACGACGAAACAAAAATAGCAACTCCAATTAACAATGGCAACAATAATAACACCAGTAACAATGTCATCAAAAAACGAAAATTACATCAACAATGGCAACAACAACAACACAACAACAACAACAACAACCAAATTCAACAGCACAACGTCAACAATAACAACTTGACACGTGGCAGATTCCCCGAGTCAATGTTTAGATGGTTGGGTTCAGGTCACCGTCCCGTAATCAGCTGACGAGCCACGTGCCCTCCTTGAGAGCCCTCCACCACCTGACGCGGTCAACGAGAAATCGAATTCTCACGTCTTTTACTATTTTACGATGTAGCTACCTTTATATTATTGGTTCTTTCGGTAAAGTCACGTAGAAGGTAAATAATGAAATAATAAAAAATAACTAAATATATTTTTTTCTTTTACTATGTTTTATTTGCATTACTTTATTATTTCCCTTCTACGTGACTTTACTTTTATTGTTATGAAATAACAAAATGAAACATAATAAAATGCATGTATGTTTTTATTATGTTCTATTATTATTATTAAAAAAATAAAACAAAAAAATATGTATATTTTTTATTATGTGTTATTTTTATTATTTTATTCTTTCCCTTCGACGTGACTTTACCGAAAGAACCAAGAATATGAATCCATGCAGTCACGAAAGCTTTAAATCGAAATGTATCTATCTTTATTTTTAGCACGTAAGGCCCAACTCAGCGACCTGGCCATCACAGATATGATAGCCCAATGAAGTGGCTTAACATTTGGACATTTACAGCGGCGGACAAATACTCTGGACGCGTGATGTTGATGCCAAATGTGGGAGGGAAAAACCGGAGGGCCCGGGAGAAAAATCCACGCGACCACGGGGAGAGAGACACGCGAACTCCAAATATACAGTAGCAGCAGGCGTCAGGGTATGGATGGAACCCACGACCTCCTGTACACCAGGCGAGGTAGTTAACATCTCCTAGCCACCGTGATGATGAGAGAGAGAGACACGCGAACTCCAAATATACAGCAGCAGCAGGGGTCAGGGTATGGATGGAACCCACGACCTCCTGTACACCAGGCGAGGTAGTTAACATCTCCTAGCCACCGTGATGATGATGAGAGAGAGAGAGAGACACGCAAACTTCAAATATACAGCAGCAGGCGTCAGGGTCGCGATCGAACCCACGACCTCCTGTACACCAGGCGAGGTAGTTAACATCTCCAAGCCACCGTGATGATGATGAGAGAGAGAGACACGCAGATTTCAAATATACAGCAGCAGCAGGCGTCAGGGTATGGATCGAACCTACGACCTCCTGTACACCAGGCGAGGTAGTTAACATCTCCAAGCCACCACAGTACGACAGGGCCGCTGTGATCCGTAGCTCACGACTCATTACACACACACAGTGCTCGCCACAAGAGCGAACCACAAAACCTCCTCGCTGACCTCTTCAAGGGACATAAACCATCACCACGCAAACTCTGGGGGTCATTCTCGCAGCAGAAGCGGTAGGAGGGGGGGGTGCTTTTGGCTGCTGGTTGTCAGGGCATCGTCGCGCGGCGCTTTCAGATGCGCTTCTGCGGCCGTCTGGAACGCTCTTCCCTTCCGATATTAGGAAGCCACTGGGAGCTGTGATGCACTCTTAAACCTACTGCTTTTTCTGTTTAGTGTGCTGTCCTTGCTGATTAGCACAGTTATGCTACGTACGGTGTGAAATAAGTTCAACATAGATACACACTGCCTATGGACTAACACTGCCCATAGACTCAACACTGCCCATAGACTCAACACTACCCATAGACTCAACACTGCCCATAGACTCAACACTGCCCATAGACTCAACACTACACATAGACTCAACACTACCCATAGGCTCAACACTACCTATAGACTCAACGCTACCCATAGACTCAACACTACCCATAGACTAACACTACCCATAGACTCAACACTGCCCATAGACTCAACACTACCCATAGACTCAACACTACCCATAGACTCAACACTACCCATAGACTAACAATACCCATAGACTCAACACTGCCTATAGACTCAACACTACCCATAGACTCAACGCTACCCATAGACTCAACACTACCCATAGACTCAACACTGCCCATAGACTCAACACTGCCCATAGACTCAACACTGCCAACAGACTCAGCACTACCCATAGAATAAACACTACCCATAGATTCAACACTGCCCATAGACTCAACACTGCCCATAGACTCAACACTGCCCATAGAATCAACACTACCCATAGATTCAACACTGCCCATAGACTCAACACTGCCCATAGACTCAATACTGCCCATACACTCAACACTACCCATAGATTCAACACTACCCATAGACTCAACACTACCCATAGACTCAACACTACTCATAGACTCAACACTACCCATAGACTCAACACTACCCATAGACTCAACACTACCCATAGACTCAACACTACCCATAGACCAACACTACCCATAGACTCAACACTGCCCATAGACTCAACACTGCCCATAGACTCAACACTGCCCATAGACTCAACACTGCCAACAGACTCAGCACATACCCATAGAGTCAACACTACCCATAGACTCAACACTACCCATAGACTCAACACTGCCCATAGACTCAACACTGCCCATAGAATCAACACTACCCATAGACTCAACACTGCCTATAGACTCAACACTACCCATAGAATCAACACTACCCATAGACTCAACACTACCCATAGACTCAACACTGCCCATAGACTCAGGACTACCCATAGACTCAACACTACCCATAGACTCAACACTACCCATAGACTCAACACTACCCATAGACTAACACTACCCATAGACTCACCACTACCCATAGACTCAACACTGCCCATAGACTCAACACTACCCATAGACTCAACACTACCCATAGAGTAACACTACCCATAGACTCAACACTACCCATAGACTCAACACTGCCCATAGAATCAACACTACCCATAGACTCTACAATACCCATAGACTCAACACTACCCATAGACTCAACACTGCCCATAGACTCAACACTGCCCATAGACTAACACTACCCATAGACTCAACACTGCCCATAGACTCAACACTGCCAACAGACTCAGCACTGCCAACAGACTCAGCACTACCCATAGACCCAACACTGCCCATAGACTCAACACTGCCCATAGACTCAACACTACCTATAGTCTAACACTACCCATAGACTCAACACTACCCATAGACTCAACACTGCCCATAGACTCAACACTACCCATAGACTAACACTACCCATAGACTCAACACTACCCATAGACTCAACACTGCCCATAGACTCAACACTGCCCATAGACTAACACTACCCATAGACTCAACACTGCCCATAGACTCAACACTGCCCATAGACTCAGCACTACCCATAGACTCAACACTACTCATAGACTCAACACTGCCCATAGACTCAACACTACCCATAGAGTCAAAACTACCCATAGACTAACACTACCCATAGACTCAAGACTACCCATAGACTCAACACTACCCATAGACTCAACACTACCCATAGACTAACACTACCCATAGAATCAACACTACCCATAGACTCAACACTACCCATAGACTCAACACTGCCCATAGACTCAACACTGCCCATAGACTCAACACTACCCATAGACTCAACACTGCCCATAGACTCAACACTACCAATAGACTAACACTGCCCATAGACTCAACACTACCCATAGACTCAACACTACACATAGACTAACACTACCCAAAGACTCAACACTACCCATAGACTCAACACTACCCATAGATTTTGATTTAAAGCTTTCGTGACTGCAGTAATTCATAATCTTAGCTCTATCGGTAAAGTCAAGAGACTTTTCCGAAAGAGCTAAGAATATGAACTACCCATAGACTCAACACTGCCCATACACTCTAAATTTCACACTTAACTTACAATTTAGCAATCTTTGAAATAGCGTAATCAACCAGACCATGCGTTAATTGTGTTTTAACCGACTGTCTGTGTTGCTTTATATAGTTTCCAAATTTTGCTAAACGCTGTTTGATTTAGTGTGCTCCGTCTATCTCGTGTCCCCTGGTGTGTCTGTGTTAATTCCCTCTACTTAAGGTCTGTATATATATCAGCGGTTATGTGTTTCCTCTCTCTCTTAAATTTAGCTCTTCTGTACATGATGATTGCTTGTGTTGCAATCGAAACGGCGTATGCTATAATGTAATTTTATTTTCATTATTTATTCTATGTGACTTTACCGAAAAAAACAAAGAGTAATTCCTGCAGTCACGAAAGCACCTAATCAAGTTTACTGCCCATACACTCAACACTGCCCATAGACTCAACACTACCCATAGACTCAACACTACCCATAGACTCAACGCTGCCCATAGACTAAACACTACCCATAGACTCAACACTACCCATAGACTCAACACTGCCCAAAGACTCAACACTACCCATAGACTCAACACTACCCATAGACTCAACACTACCCATAGACTAACACTACCCATAGACTCAACACTGCCCATAGACTCAACACTACCCATAGACTCAACACTACCCATAGACTAACACTACCCATAGACTCAACACTGCCCATAGACTAACACTGCCCATAGACTCAACACTGCCCATAGACTCAACACTGCCAACAGACTCAGCACGACCCATAGACTCAACACTACCCATAGACTCAACACTGCCCATAGACTCAACACTGCCCATAGACTCAACACTGCCCATAGAATC